CAACTTGGATGTCCCTGAACAGACTTAGAAGTGGAAGGGGCAGATTGAAAGATAACCTGGCAAAAATAACACTACCTATAACAGTGGTTCTCAACCTTTCTTATGCCTCAACCCTTTAATACAGTTCTTCATGTTGTGGTGACCATCAACCATAACAATATTTTTGTTGCTACATCATAACTTTAATTTTGCTACTGTTATGAATTGTCATGTTAACATCTGATATTCCTGCTTCTTGGCAGGGAGTTAGACTGGATGGCCCATGAGGTCTCTTCCAACTCTTTGATTCTATGATTCTATGATTCTATGTATTTTCATTCACTGGACCAAATTTAGAACAAATACCCAATACGTCCAAATTTGAATACTGGTGGGGTTGGAGGGGGAGATTGGTGTTGTCATTTAGGAGTTGTAGTTGCTGGGATTTATAGTTCACCTACAATCAAAGAGCACTCTGAACTCCACCCATGATGCAGTTGAACCAGTCTTGGCATACAGAGCCCCCATGCCCAACAGAAAATACTGGAAGGGTTTGGTGAGCATTGACCTTGAGTTTTGGAGTTGTAGTTCACCTTCATCCAGAGAGCCTTGTGGACTCAAACAGTGATGGATCTGGACCAAACTTGGCATGAATACTCAATATGCCCAAATGTGGACACTGGTGGAGTTTGGGGAAAATAGACCTTGACATTTGGGAGCTGTAGTTGCTGGAATTTATAGTTTATCTACAATCAAAGAGCATTCTGAACCCCATCAATGATAGAATTGGGTCAAATTTCCCACACAGAACCCCCATGAACAACAGAAAATACTGTGTTTCTGATGGTCTTTGGCAATCCCCCTGACACCTCCCAGGGGTCCCACATCCCCAGGTTGAGAAACGCTGGACTATGAGAATCCTCTACTTTTTGTGACTGTGGAGCAGGACAAACATCTCTGCATCTGTATTCTTTCCCACAATGTCCTGCCTCATGCACAGGGGAAGTATTTGCTTAAATCTACAGACAATACGATCGCTGTTGCCCATTTTTGGTCTAAAATTATTTAGCCACTCGTGCTCCCTCTATTTTATGAATTTTATACTTATTTATGCAATGCTTTTGACATGAAATAAATAAATAAATATGCATACACAAACTTAGATATTCTTAAAAAATTAAACAGTTAAAATCCAAAATACTTTTGATTCCACCTTTTTTGGATAAGGGATACTCAGCCTGTAGTTATATCCCACCCTACATCCAAACATCTCAGGGCAATGTAGTTTGATAAACTTTAAAGCAATAAAACATATCAATAGTGTTATAGAATAGACTCATAGAGTTGAAAGACCAAAATATGTTTAATGTGTTATCAGTTAATAAACAGGCCATTAAAAGCCAATTAATACATTTTAAGGTAGCGCCAACCATTACACATAGGCATCCTAGATAAATTCAGGTCTGAAAATTTTGTTTAAAAGCAAGGTTTTGACCAAAGGATACCAGCATTGGACACAGTTGGGCCTTGGGCATTGGGAGGCATTACATAACTAGAGTGTCACTACACAGGAGACCCTATCTAGTGCAAACTGTTGATCGGACTGTGTTCCTTTACACTGAAAGCCTCTTTGAGCCTCAGGTGATCCAGCTTCTGAGATCATTATTTCATATTCTCAGTGGACCCAGGTATCATTGCATAGAATCTAATTTATCCCTGGGTTGCTCTTGAACATGAGTGAATTCTAGATCAAGTAATCAAAATGCAAAGTGTTTTCTCCATTACATGTTGTCTGTGATTTAGAAAAAATAGCACATTTTCTTGCACATCTTTTGAGAGAAAAATCTGATTTGCATTTTTGCTTATTTTTGTCTCACATTCCTTCCTTTCCTGGCAACTTTGGGCTCAGCTGCTCAGAAGCATTATTACAAGAGCTATGAATTGCTGTAGGTGGGAATAAGGGGGAGGGGGGGGGAAGGTAGAAATTACTGGATAGGGTTGGCGAGAAGGAGGGAGGAAAAGCACTACATGAGAACCATTGTGAAGAACAAATAGGAAGACCAGAGAGGGCAATGAACCTCGGCCAAAATTATATTGAGCTGGAGTATGCCCCGAAACTATGGATGTGGTTTCATGAGAAGGCTGGAAACCCCATGACAGATTTCTCCTCCATTGGTTCTCAGAGCTGATTATTGGAGATACTACAAATATATGTGTAAATATAATAATAATAATAATAATAATCCTTTATTTATACCCCGCTACCATCTCCCGAAGGACTCATTGCGGCTTACAAGAGGCCGAGCCCAAATACATCAGTAAAAACAACAACAACAACAACAACAATACAACAATAACACCGCGGCATATTAAAAGAACCTATGGCAGGTGAAATAGGATAGGTATTTTGGAGATAGGTGGGGCATGCAGACGATCCTAAATCTCTAATAAAGTGCATTCGGGACAAATTGCTTGGAGTTTACTTATTCTGGGAAGGCACACTGGAACAACCACGTTTCCAAGCTCCTCCTAAAGACTGCCAATGTTGGGGCATGCATGATGTCCTTGGGGAGTGAGTTCCAGAGTCGAGGGGCTACCACCGAGAAGGCCCTGTCCCTCGTCCCCACCAATCGCGCTTGCGATGCAGGTGGGATCGCGAGCAGGACCTCTCCAGATGATCGAAGAGATTGTTTGTGTTTGTAAATTTGTTGTAATGTTTGGCACATTTTTGGATTAATAATAATAATAATAATAATAAAAATAGAAGGCCACCTTACTGGAATCTGCACACGTTATTCGCCGATACATCACACAGTCCTAGACACTTGGGAAGTGTCCGAGGTGTGATCCATCTCAAGAGCCAGCAGAGTGTCTGCTGTGAACTAATCTTGTTGTGTTTCAAATAATAATCTTTATTTAATACTTTAGTAGTCTTTGTATTGCTTTAGTAATCTTTGTATTAGCTTTGCAGGAGGAAAAGAGATCTCTTCAACAGAAAAGTGACAGCTCTGTTAGTTATAACAACATTATAAAGGTGTATAGTTTGCTTAGGCAAGAGGTTTACTAAGGTACAGAGGGGAAAGGGCTGATTTCTTGTACAGAGAAGTGGCTTATATTGGGCAGAGCGCATCCCTGAATTGCAAAGGTGAGGGTGACATTCAGAACTGCAATTCTATAAGTCAGCTTCTATCCAAAGCTAGCTCTATGTTTAGTTGAGCTTTCCGGGCTGTCTGGACATCTTCCAGAAGCATTCTGTCCTGATGCTTCACTCACATCTATGGCAGGCATCCTCAGAGGTTATGAGGTTTGTTGGAAACAAGGCAAGTGGGGTTTATATATCTGTGGAATAATGTCCAGAGAGGGTGAAAGAACTGTTGTCTGTTTGAGGCAAGTGTGAATGTTGCAGTTGATAACCTTGATTAGCATTGAATAGCCTTTCAGCTTCAAGGTTTGGCTGCTTCCTGCCTGGGGGAATCCTTTGTTGGGAGGTGATTAGCTGGCCCTGATTGTTTCTTGTCTGGAATTCCCCTGTATTTTTTTTAACATTGTTCTTATTTACTGTCCTGATTTTATATATTTTTTTAATACTAATGGCCAGATTCCTTTCTGTTGAAATTGTCCACACGCTTGTGGATTTCAATAGCTTCTCTGTGTAGTCTGACATGGTAGTTGTGAGAGTGGTCCAGCATTTCTGTGTTCTCAAATAATATGCTGTGTTCAGATTGGTTCATCAGGTGCTCTGCTATAGTTGACTTCTCTGGTTGAATTAGTCTGCAGTGCCTTTCATGTTCTCTGACTTGTGTTTGGGCAATGCTGTGGTCCCTCTGTAGACTTGTCCACAGCTGCATGGTATATGGTAGTCTCCTGCAGAAGTGAGAGGATCCCTCTTGTCCTTTGCTGAACATAGGATTTATTGGACTGCAGACTTATTCAACCAGAGAAGTCAGCCATTGCAACATTCACAGACAAGAGTTCTTTCTCCCACCCTGTCTATTCCACAAATATATAAACTGCACTTGCCTTGTTTCCAACAAACCTCCCAACCTCTGAGGGTGCCTGCCATAGATGTGGGTGAAACGTTGGGAGAGAATACTTCCGGAACATGGCCATACACCCCAGAAAACTCACAGCAACCCAGTCATTCTGACCATGAAAGACTTCGACAACACAGCTCTATGTTATTCTACAATTCATATTTTAGAAATAGTCCTTTACAATTGCAGTGATATTCTTGGCATTGCTACTACCTCTGGAGAAAAAGTTTTAGCCATATATATGGTATATCTGTAGTTTAAATGATTTTGCAGTTTATAAACATAATGGCATTTTATTAAAATAGCTTGTTTAATTGTGTTTTAACTTTTTATTACTAGAGCATATTATTATTATTATTATTATTATTATTATTATTAACTTTATTTATACCCGGCAAAATCTCCCGAAGGACTCAATGCGGCTTAAAAAGGCCAAGGCCGCCAACAACGACAACATACAAATATCACAGTAAAACTCATAAGCAAAACAATAAAACACTAAAAACAATGACATCATGACGCATTTAAAACCTAAAGGCCGGGCCAAATGTAATGGACAGAATTTAAAAGTGCTGAACTTGACAGGAGGTATCTAGGGGTTTTTTTGGAGGTAGGTGCAATGTGCAGACAATCCTGATCTCTGACAAAGTGCATTTGGGACATGATGCCAGGAGTTTCCTAATCTGGAAAGGCACACTGGAACAGCCAGGTCTTCAGGCTCTTCCTAAAGATTGCCAACGTTTGGGCTTGTCTGATGTCCTCGGGGAAAGAGTTCCAGAGTTGGGGAAAAGGCCCTGTCCCTCGTCCCCACCAAACAAGCTTGCGACGCAGGTGGGATCGTGAGCAGGGCCTCTCCAGATGACCTGGAGTAAGCTGCCTTGAGTTCCATTCTGGGAGAAATGCAGGGTATTAAAAAAAGAAAATATAATTGTTTAGTACATCTCCTCAAAATAAATATTCTCATGATAATGTTTTGGTTTCTTTTAGGCATATGGCTCCGGATGTGATATTGTTATTCTGGCAAACGACTTTGAATGTGTGCAAATTATCCCTGGTGCTAAGCATGGAAACATCCAAGTCAGCTGTGTGGAGTGCTCCCAACAAGGAAGGGTAAGGGGTTTAAAGCATTTGAGAGATGGGAGATGGAAAAATGACATTGGAAATCAACAGTAACTTTTAAATAAGACTTTGAAACTTAAAATTAGCAGAACTTGGGCTCAACAACACATCCTCACTCATGTCCTCCAGCAACTAATATTGAAAGATAATAATAATAATAATGTTATTATTATTGTTACTAATATTGAAAGACACTCTTTCTCTGATACTAGAGTGAATACATACGTAGTATTGCTATGAGCTCTTACAAGGCATATTATTCTGTGTGAATTACTATAGCTGTCTTTTGTTGATGATCTGTAAGCATTTGCTCTACTATAACTGTGTGCTGTGCATTGAACAGCCTAGTTAAAACAAAGTCTATGCAGCTATAATAGCAAGCATTACCCTAGAATAGATATTCCTTTCATATTTATTTATTTATTTATTTATTTTATTTACGACAGTTATATGCCGCCCTTCTCATCCCGAAGGTATATATACATACATTACATAGTAAAATAGTAAAATACCAGAATTAAACATTGGAATATTGCACCATACCATTATATCATAATATTATTAGTAATATTACATGTAATATAAATATATAATTATAATATCATATTATTATTATTAGTACTATATTGCATTACATTATAATATTATAAATAATATAAGAGGAAGGGGCAGCCTCTCTATAGCTCAAGGGCATCTAATAACCACCAGGATTCTTGAATTTAAAGAATTTGATTTTCCTTAGCAAAATAAATAATTATTGAAATATATGCATCTATATAAATAAAAATGTAATATTCATTTGTGATATTAACATAACTCAAATACCACTGGATGAATTGACACCAAATTTGTACACAATACACCTATCAGGCCAACGAGTGACCATCACTCATAAAAACACTGAAAAACATAGCAGAAGAAACTTAAAAAGCCAAAAAACAAAAATTAAATTGTAATGCATGCGCAAAACCACATACTGTGTATACTCGAGTATAAGCCTAGTTTTTCAGGCCTTTTTTGGGGCTGAAAAAGTCCCTCTCAGCTTAAACACGAGTCAAGGTTATTTATTATTTTACTCTGTTATAAATACGTAATAAATGTATTATTATTATTATTATTATTACATTTATTATTTTACTCTATTTATTATTGTTGTTATTATTACCTTTATTATTTTACTCTATTATTGTTGTTATTATTACATTTATTATTTTACTCTATTTTTATTGGAAGGGTACGCAAGCACATTTACATTGAAGAAGGTCAGAATGGTTTAATCAGAGTTGAATAGTCTTATCTTAAATTACAGTTTTATGCAAATATTCAAAAACATTTATCCTCCTGATGCCTCAATTAATGCAATTTTATTGGTATCTATTTTTATTTTGAAATTTATCAGTATCTATTGCATTTCCCACCTTTGGCTTATACTCGAGTCAATACAGTTTCCCAGTTTAAGTGCCTCGGCTTATATTCGGGTCGGCTTATACTCGAGTATATACGGTATATATACGCAAACACACATATACGCATTTACATTAATACACACACACACATATACACACACAAAACACATATACACAGCAACGCGTGGCAGGGGATGGCTAGTTATAGATAAAAAAGAAAATGCTTTACCTAGACATGCTTAACCAGCTTTTCAATATCAATTATTCTCCTGATCATCTGTGGTCAGAAGACAAGTGTGGTTACAAATGCAGCCTTGAAGGTCTACCTTCCCTTTTCCAAACAAACAAAAATTACATGTAGTATAAGGAATCCTTCTTGCTTATTTACTAATTTCATTATGAAAGCCTCTTTGTTTGCTAAACAAAATAGAATTAACAAAATTAGCAGATACAAAGGACTATCCCAAAGGACTTGTGCAGCACCCTTCCTGTATATTAAAAATATGACCCTTGGCTAGTGATAAGTAGGAGAGAAAGATAGTAGAGACTAGTCATGGGCCCGATATCTGTTTATTTTATTTATTTATTTTACAGCTTTTATATTCCGCCCTTATCGCCCTGCAGGGGACTCAGGGCGGATTACAGTGTGCACATATACACTGGCAAACATTCAATGCCAATTTTAACATACAACATATACAGACATATGCAGAGGCTATTTAACTTTTTCTGGCCACCAGGGGAGCTGTCGCTTTCATCGTCCACCTGCGACGCTGATGAAGCACTTCCGCATTCCCCGCATGCTTCCCCGCTGGAATGCTTTGCTGGAGTCTTCTTTATGACCTCATAAATCAGTTAACTTAGCCTCCCCACACTTTAAGTTGGTACCTAATTTCCCTACTTGACAGATGCAACTGTCTTTCAGGTTGCAAAGGTCAACAACAGGCTACACACAATTGGTTGGAAACCCACTCCAACCCGGGCTGGCTTCGAACTCATGACCTTTTGGTCAGAGTGATCTTAATGCAGCTGACACTCAGCCAGCTGTGCCACAATCCCGGTGCTGTATCATTGCTTTGATTTGTGTTTCCGTTTCGTTCCATCCGTTCGGATGGCATGGAACGGGAAGGCCTCTCCTGGAACGAAAATTAACTCGATATGAAAGGCAGGCGGGTACCGGCTCCAAGTCTGCTTTTTGGAATTGATTGCTGTGTGCATAGGCCCAAAGCATGTGGGCTTGCCAGAGCCTGCAGCCGAGCACCGAGTAAGGAGCGCTGCTTACTCGGCACTTGGGTTCAGGCTCTTGCACATCCCAGCACGTTGGGCCTACGTTTTGAGTTGCGGAGCAAAGTCATCAGCAGCAAACGTGATGGGTCTTCAGCCCCAGCCATGGAGTTCTTTGACTCCCCAAATGAAGGTGAGGCAAACCCCGTCCAAAAGTGTGCACTGGGAAGGGGAGCCTGGGTGGGAAGCCCCAGGTTTGTTATGACATATAAAATCAAAAATTGTATAATGCTAAATCTTATTGATGGGAAGCAGCTATCTGTGGGCATGCATATTTTAACTTCACACAAACTAGACTAGCTGTTCTTCCTGGGTATTTTGTTCATGATTTGGATCAGTGGTGAAGTTCTGGGTTAGATTCACTATTAACTAATTCTATTTTGGATTTGCAGTGTGTTTCTGCAGTGTGTGTTTCTGTTTTACAGGAGTAAGCAAAATTTGACCTTTTATTGAATGCTACAGTTAACTGACCTGGAAATTATGTCTGTCAGAAATAGCTTTCCCACTGTTTTGCAATATCTTCTCTTAATGGCCAAAGAGTATGGCTCAGTATAGTGTATCCCTTGAAATCTAGCCTCTGGTGCCACCATCAAGTGATATTTGTAGAAATTTACTTTTGCTCTGTAGAAGAGGCATAAATAGAAATAGAAAATGTTTTTTTACTGCTATTTTTGGAGACCTTTAACTTTTTGTCCACTTGCTTTGCTCTAGATTGCAGCCTCGTATGGAAATGCTGTGTGTATTTTTGAACCTCTTGGGATAAATTCTCACAAGAGAAATTGTGTAAGTACTACACTCTCCCATTCCCTTGAATCGTAAAATGGTATTGCGGGTGTCATTCCTTTTGAAACTTCAATATTAAAGCACCACATGCCACAGCCTCCTGGTTTACTCAGCTTGCACGACTAGGAGGTGATTTGCAGGGGAGAAGTGGCAGATGTAAGGAAAGGTGCTTCATTCCTTTTGCCATTTTCTTTTTATAACTTCACCTCAACTGAATGTTTGTCATCTCAGATGCATTCTTAACGAAGTAGTGCTACGTTTCTCAACCTGGTGGTTGGGACCCCTAGGGAGGTCTCGAGGCGGTTTCAGGAGGTCACCAAAGACCATCACAAAACATATATTTCTGATGGTCTCAGGAGGAGGAGAAGGCTGAAGGTCTCTCCACCAGTCCTTCTCTTCCTTTTTGGAAAAAGAAGGTGAATCCTCTCACCCAAAGCCCTCCTCTGCTGGGATTGGCCATCCTCTCAGCCAAGGGGAGGGCTGTTTCTGAGACTCCAAATGGCTCCCCAGGTATGCTTGGCGCATGGCAGTGAGGCTACAGGGAGACTCGCACAAGCGAGTCCCTTCAAGGCATGGGGATTCTGTGTAGGAAGTTTGTCCCAATTCTATCATTGGTGGGGTTCAGAATGGTCTTTGAATGTAAGTGAACTATAAATCCCAACAACTACAACTCCAAAAGATCAAGGTCTATTTTCATCAAACTCCACCAGTGCTCACATTCGGGCATATTGAGTATTTATTCCAAGTTTGGTTCAGATCCATCATTGTTCGAGTCCACAGTGTTCTCTGGATGGAGGTGAACTAAAACTCCAAAATTCAAGGTCAATGCCCACCAAACCCTTCCAGTATTTTCTGTTGGTCGTGGGAGTTCTGTGTGCTAAGATTAGTTCAATTCCATTGTTGGTGGAGTTCAGTATGCTCTTTGATTGTAGGTTAACTATAAATCCCTGCAACTACAATGCCCAAATGTCAAGCCTCCTTTCCCCAAACTCCAATTCCCAAATGACAAAACCAATCTTCCCAACCCCACCAGTATTCAAATTTGGACGTATCGAGTATTTGTGCTAAACTTTGTCTAGTGAATGAAAATACATCCTGCATATCAGATATCTACATTACGATTCATAACAGTAGCAAAATGACAGTTATATAAAATAGTTTTTATTAAACATCTTTTACAATGGGGATTGAGATAAAAGAAAAACAAAAAAAAGAGAAAAGAGATAAGAAAGTAGGGAAGAGACTGGGAAAGGTAAGGGTTTGGGATGGGAGAGGTATCATAAGCGTATGGTGCAAAATTGAAGGGGAGGGAGAGAAAGGGTCAAAGGGTGTGTGTGTAGGAAATAAAAGAGTTGGGAGAGTAGAAAGAGTGATTCCGACTTCCAGTCGTCTTCGTATCCGGCTTCACAGTCTCTTTAATTGGTATTTGGAGGGGGGCGGCTAACCCACTTGCACCTTTTCTGGTTGTAGTATTATAATATTTTAAACTGTCCTTATATATTTATCGTCCATTTAAAATTTTCTGGGATTAGATAATTCTTTACTGGGGACCAATCTGTTTTTATTATCTTTATTTTTTGATTCGCCTTCGTCAATTGTGTTAGTCTGTCCATATTCATAATATCGATTGTCTTAAATAACCACTGCTCTTGTGTTGGAGTTTCCTTCGATCTCCAGAACCTTGCATAGCAGATTCTGGCTGCATTTATAAGATAATTGAAGAGTTTTTCTTTGCTAATTTCCAAATCTTCCTCTGATATTCCTAGCAGAAAGTGTTCCGGTTTAAATTCAATCTTTATTTCTAATTTTTTTTCAATTTTTCTGTGAATGTCTCTTCAATAAGATTTTGCTATTCCGCGTGTCCACCACATATGGAAGAAGGAGCCAGGTTGTTCTTCGCATTTCCAGCACAAATTACTTATATTTGGATAGCATCTAGCCAGCTTTTAAGGTGTGATGTACCACCTATACATCATCTTCATCCAGTTTTCTCTTAGGTCCATTGCATAAGTGTATCCAGGTTCTTGTGGGTTTTTTTCGGGCTATAGGGCCATGTTCTAGAGGCATTTCTCCTGACGTTTCGCCTGCATCTATGGCAAGCATCCTCAGAGGTAGTGAGGTCTGTTGGAATTAGGACAATGGGTTTATATATCTGTGGAATGGCTGGGGTGGGGCAAAGAGCTCTTCTCTGCTGGAGCTAGGTGTGAATTTTTCAACTGAGAGGTATTAAGATGTGCCTGGGTGTTTCCTCTCTGCTGTTTTGCTGTTGTAATTTTAGAGTTTTTTAATACTGGTAGCCAGATTTTGTTCATTTTCATGGTCTCGTCCTTTCTGTTGAACACCTCTCAACAAAAGATTTTCCCAGGCTCAGCCAGGCCTTCAAATGCTAATGATATATAAACCCATTGTCCTAATTCCAACAGACCTCACTACCTCTGAGGATGCTTACCATAGATGCAGGCGAAACGTCAGGAGAAATGCCTCTAGAACATGGCCCTATAGCCCGAAAAAACCCACAAGAACCTAGTGATTCCAGCCATGAAAGCCTTCGACAATACATAAGTGTATCTGATTTTTCTATTCCAGATTTTTCCCCAGTTTTCAAGATTAATTGGGTGGCCTATATTCTCAGCCCACTTGATCATACAATCTTTGATCAATTCAGTCTCAGTGGACCACTCTAATAATTTTTTATACATTTTCGTTATTAATTTATTTTCTGTAGCCAGGACAAAATGACAGTTATGAAGTAGCAACAAAAATAATGTTATGGTTTGAGGGTCAGCACAACATGAGGAACTGTATTGAGAGGTCAGAACCACTGATAGAGTATTAGCTGTGCATGCAGAACAGAAGGGACACGTTCTCATTTTGGGGTTGCATTCCTGCTAGCCCTGTGACCGTGTTCTAGGAGCTTAATTTGGTTCTGTTGCAGGCACAAATTGTTTTCACTGCAGAATTGTATTTGACAGCAATGTAGTTGCTTAATCTTGTCAAATGAAGTGGTCGCAAATAATGAAATCTGAAGGACAAGTATATAGCTTTGCGTAATAAATAAATAAATAAATGTTGTCTCTCTTGTTATCGTCTCCTAAAAATTAATTCTTAATATTTCCATTGCAGCAACTGAAGTGTCAGTGGCTGAAAACAGGACAGTTTTTCCTTAGTTCCATGACCTTCAACTTAGCCTGGGATCCTCAAGGTAAATTGACGTGGAGACAGTTCTCAATATTGAACATTATGGAGGTTGCTACAATGGGTGTCTCTATCAGGGGACAACATTTGATGCTCACAAAGCAGCAGTTGCAAGGTGCAAGTAGAAAATACTTTGTTGGCAAATTTGCCCAGCACTCTACAAATAATGTATCATCGGATAAATAATTTTTGGGGTCATCACAGAAATAACCAAGTGGCCTTGGAATATAATTATGTTCATAATTTTCTTTTGAATATATTTATGTAAACACCCATTTCCCAATACTGTCACTTGAAACTATATCAGAAGGCATTTAATTGTGAGTAACATGAAAATATTAATGAATTCTCCACCCTTCTCTATTTCACTTATTTTTTCTTTGCTTCCAGGTAACCGGTTATTGACTGCAACAGATTACTTGCAGTTGTGGGCCCCTCCCTCTAGTGACATCCTGGAAGAGGAGGAGGAAGATGACCCCGACGCAGTGGCCAAAGAGGATAAAGTCCACCCTGTTCTAAATGACTGGAAATGTGTCTGGCAGTGCAAGTATGTGGTCCATTTCCCTTAGTAGTAATTTTAAAGGACTTGAATTCATGTAATCTGTAGAATTCAAAATAAAATCTTATAACTCACCATTGCCTTTCAGTTATATTACTGGAAAACATATTGTAGAGTAGTAAGACGCACTTGGATATTCTACTTTATACTCTTACTTTTGTTGTGTTCCAATGTACAAAGGGAACTACTTACAGGGAGTGAACTGCTAAGATAATTTCTGCAGATGTTTTGGACTACAGCCTCCATTATTATTTACCGTTTGCTATCATATTGCTGGAACTAATGGGAGAGGCATTCCAAAGATATTTGGGAATCTATTGTCAAAGGTTTTCATGGCTGGAATCACTGGGTTGCTGTAGGTTTTTCAGGCTATATGGCCATGTTCTAGAAGCATTCTCTCCTGACGTTTCGCCTGCATCTATAGCAAGCATCCTCAGAGGTTGTTGCAACCTCTGAGGATGCTTGCTATAGATGCATGTGAAACATCAGGAGAGAATGCTTCTAGAACATGGCCATATAGCCTGAAAAACCTACAACAACCCAGTATTTGGGAATACTTTGTCGCCTGTTCCTGTTTTAAAGAAAATCTGTTGACTATAACATATAACATGGAGCGAGAGTTGCCAGATGTACAATCTGGGTTTCAAAAAGACAGAGGAACGAGAGACCAAATTGCCAAGGTCCACTGGATAATGGAGAAAGACAGGGAGTTTCAGAAGAACATCTTTTCTGTTTTATTGACTATTCTAAAGCCTTTGACTGTGTGGATCATAATAATAAATTGTGGCAAGTTCTTGGTGGTATGGGGAGACCAAGCCACCTTGTCTGTCTCCTGAGGAATCTGTATAAGGAACAAGTAGCAACAGTCAGAACAGACCACAGAACAACAGACTGGTTCAAGATTGGGAAAGGAGTACAGCAGGGAAGTATACTCTCACCCAACCTGTTCAACTTGTGTACAGCACACATCATGTGACGTGCGGGGTTTGACAAATCCAAGGCTGGAGTTAAATTTGCTGGAAGAAACATTAGCAACCTTAGGTATGCAGATGATACCACTTTGATGCCTGAAAGCGAGGAGGAGCTGAGCAGCCTTCTAACAAGGTGAAAGAAGAAAGTGCAAAAGCTGGGTTACAGTTAAACATAAAAAACCTCAAGATTATGGCAACCAGACTGATTGATAACTGGCAAATAGAGGGAGAAAACGTGGAGGCCATAACAGACTGTATTTCTAAACACGAGGATGACTGCAGACACAGACTGCAACAAGGAAATCATAAGATGTTTACTTCTTGGGTGGAGAGCAATGACCAATCTTGATAAAATAGTGAAGAGTAGAGACATTGCACCGGCAACAAAAATCCGCATAGTTAAAGCAATGGTATTCCCCGTAGTCACCTACGGATGTGAGAGCTGGACCATAGGGAACGCTGAGCAAAGGAAGATAGATGCTTTTGAACTGTGGTGCTGGAGGAAAATCCTGAAAGTGCCATGGACCTCAAGAAGATGAAACCAGTCCGTAGTCCAGGAAATAATACCCAGCTACTCACTGGAGGGAAGGATATTAGAGGCAATGATGAAGTACTTTGGCCACATAATGAGAAGACAGGAATGGTTGGAGAAGACAATGATGCTGGGGAAAATGGAAGGAAAATGGAAGAGGGGCCGACCAAGGGCAATATGGATGGATGGCATCCTTGAAGTGACTGGATTGACCCTGAATGAGCTGGGGGTGGTGACAGCCGGCTGACAGGGAGCTCTGTCGTGGGCTGGTCAATTTGGTCATGAAGAGTGGGAAATGACTGAACGAATAAACAACAAAATAACAAACCTCTAGCCAGTTCAGACAACTGAGAATTGGAAATGACCTGTAGGCTTCCATCTATATAAATAAAAACGTTATGTTCGTTTGTGGGATTAACATAACTCAAACACCACAGGACGAATTGACACGAAATATGGACACAAGAGACCTATCAGGCCAATGAGTAAACATCACTCATAAAAACACTGAAAAACACAACGGAAGAGACTTAAAAAGCCAAAAAAAAATACATTACAACGCGCGTGCAAAACCATATATATATATATATATATACACACACACACACACACACACACACATATGGGGAGCACCTGGTGGCGCAGTGGGTTAAAGTCGGAGGTTCGAATCTGGGGAGTGGCATGAGATTCCGCTGTCAGCCCCAGCTTCTGCCAACCTAGCAGTTCGAAAACATGCAAATTTGAGTAGATCAATAGGTACCGCTCCAGCGGGAAGGTAACAGTGCTCCATGCAGTCATGCTGGCCACATGACCTTGGAGGTGTCTACGGACAATGCTAACTCTTTGGTTTAGAAGTGAAGATGAGCACCAACCCCCAGAGTTGGACATGACTGGACTTAACGTCAGGGGAAAACCTTTACCATTACCTTATACACACATACACACACACACACACACACACACACAAAACACATATACACAGACTGGGCCACAGCAATGCGTGGCAGGGGACGGCTAGTGATTTCATAAAATCATATTCTAATTGGCACTAATGGTTACTTAGAAAAGTAATTTCTCCTCAAATTGGTAATTGTGTTGCCTTCTCTCTGTTTTAGGACTGCTGTGTCTGTCCATTTGATGGAATGGTCACCAGATGGTGAATATTTTGCAACAGCTGGGAAGGTAGGGATAAGCACAAGGGTCAATGTTTATTTTGTGGGCGGTACAAAGACTACTGCCTTTAAAAGAAATAATAATATATTTAACAAAACTCTGTGGCCAGTGACACCTTCCAAAACAGAATTAATAAGCTGTGTGTGTGTGTAAGAAAGAGGGGGATTCAGAACGTGAGAGATAGAGAAGTTGACATTGCAGGGTGTGGTCTGCATTAATACTAAAAATAGAAAGTAATGCTATTATTAACTCAGTAAATTGAATTGTTTGTGATTAACCTTAAAAATGACATCTGAGCTAGTGAAGAGACAGAAAGCCTTTGGCCATATGTTTCAGCCATTTAGCATTTATCTCTCTCTCCATCCCCGCCCCCTTCTTTCCGTTCGGGGATTGGTGCCTTTTTAAGAGAAGGAAGCAAACAGAACATAGAAACATGCCTTAAAACAAGTTATTCTCCCATCTAGCACAATTATTCAAATGTCAGAGTTTCCAGCAACACATAAGGGAGTCTTATCAAGCTTCTCTCACACTCCTATTCTCAACTCAAGTCCAAGTGATAATAACATTGACCTATATTTCAGAGTTTTCTTAAGGTCACGTGTTTAAAACCCTGTAAATGTAAATCCATGTAATGCTCAGTTTTAAAACCCAATGTTATTTTGAGGTAGCTGTTTAACTTCTTTAATGAATTGCATTTTTAAGGCTGGTACAGCCATTAGAAACTTTAAAGATTTCTGTTTTGAGATGTGTCAAAGGAGATTGAAATCTGGAGGTAGAATATCCCTCTAAGATAATGAAGTGCATCCAAAATTTCTGGGAACAATCAGTCATGTTGCCTTCTACCTAATTGCAGTTGATTCTGGAACTAAACAAATCAGGAGAGACCTCCGCTCATTATTTGTTTAGCATTACCGTATATACTCGAGTATAATTCAACCTGAATATAAGCCGAGGCACCTAATTTTACCACTAAAAACTGGGAAAACGTATTGACTCGAGTATAAGTCGAGGGTGGGAAATGTAGCAACTACTGGTAAATTTCAAAATAAAAATAGATATCAATAAGATTACATTAATTGAGGCATCAGTAAGTTAAATGCTTTTGAATATTTGCATCAAACTGTAATTTAAGATAGGACCATCCAACTCTAATTAGATGATTATTCTAACTTTCTTCGATGTAAATGTGCTTACGTATCCTTCCAATAATAATAGAGTAAAATAATAAATGTCATAAAATAATAATTGTAATATCATTAATAATAGAGTAAAATAATGTAAATATAACAATAATAGAGTAAAATAATAAATGTAATAATAATAATAATAATAGAAAAAAATTGAGGAATTGAACAAGAAGACATAGTTTTTATAATTTTTATTGTTTATTGCTTTTATGGTTTTTAAATGTATTGTGGTGTGATGTTTTGCTTTTAACTGATGTATGTATTTTTATATATGGCATTTCATTGTTGCCGATTTGTACGCCGCCCTGAGTTACCTTCGAGCTGATATGGACGGGATAGAAGTGACATAAATAAATAAATAAATAAATAAATAAACAAACAAACAAAGTAATAATAATAATAATAAATAGAGTAAAATAATAAGAACAAGAACAACAACAGAGTAAAATAATAAATAACTTTGTCGAAGGCTTTCATGTCCGGAATCACTGGGCTGTTGTAGGTTTTTGGGACAGTATGGCCATGTTCTAGAAGCATTGAACATGGCCATACAACCCCAAAAACCTACAACAACCCAATAAATAAGTTTGACTCGAATATAAGCAAAGGGAGACATTTTCATCCTAAAAAGGGGCTGAAAAACTCAGCTTATACACGAATATATATGGTATGTCAAAATCAAGATCTTTGGCTTGCTGCTCTCCTAAAAAACCTGAATTTATAAGCTAAAATTTATCGCTTTCAACTGTGACTGTACCAATGAAACATATCGTTATTTCCACTTGTAATTTTCCCTTAATATTACATTTGACCTGAGTTGTTCCTACTATTGACTGGCCTAAAGCAAGATATTCAAAGAATCTTTTTTCATCGATCCCCATCTGTTGTCCATGTTCGTGTGTAGCGCCAGAGTTCTGTGACTAAATAACTGAAGCAGATGGTCTTAGAAGCCATTTTCTCTCTTTGGCAGGAAGGTTTCCATTTCAGTTACTGCATGGAACTCAATTAGCTTTACATTAGCAATTGCAATTTTTAGTGTGTTTGAAGCGTACATTTTCTTGTTAGTTTTATTTTCATTGTGTTCTTATTCAGAAATAATTCTTTCCTTTTTTTTAAAAAATAGGATCTGTTAGCTATAAATGGTGCACTGACATCATTCTAATCCCATCTAATTATTATCCCAACTTCATAACTTAGTCATGTTTATTTATTTATTTACAGTATTTATATTCCACCCGTCTCACCCTGCAGAGGACTCAGGGCGAATTCCAATGTACATATACATGGCAAACATTCAATGCCATAGACACACAACATATATAGACAGACACACAGAGGCTATTTAACATTCCAGCTTTTTCATGAGGTTATTCTGGCCACCAGGGGAGCTGTCGCTTCACCGTCCATTTGTGACACTGATGCAGTACTTCCGCCTTCTTTACATGCTTTTCATAGATATGCCTAGTTTCAAACAGACCTCAAAACCTCTGAGGATGCCTGCCATAGATGTGGGTGAAACATCAGGAGAGAATGCTTCTGCAACATGGCCATACAGCCCGGAAACCTCACAGCAACCCATTCCTAGCAATGTTGGGGTGTGTTGGGAATTTTGGTTTGGGCAATAGAACTGGTGAGAAGTATTGTGTCATTTTACCTGTCAATTCACTCTGTGTTGATTTGTCTAGGATGACTGTCTCTTAAAAGTCTGGTACGCAATGACTGGCTGGAAGTCCTCTCTTCTCCCACAAGATATTGATGAGCCAAGGAAAAGCTCCACTCCTGTCCATTTTGCATTTGTGTACCTGGCACATCCTCGAGCCGTGGCAGGATTTTCATGGAGGAAAATGAGCAAGTTTATGCCCAGGTTAGAATGATCTTAGAAGGGAAAATGGTACAACAACAACAAGAATTTCTGTTGTTAAGTAACAACCTAGTCATGCTATTGATGTGGTTGAAAACATGTGGAATGAACTGACAATGCGGAATGAACTTACAGATTTCGAGCTTGGCGAACGTTGATCACTACTTTGGTTTTTATTAGTTGTATTGTATAAGTGGATTGTTTTAATTATTTTATAATTATTGCTGCTATGTATTTTATCTTACTATGTGTATTGCTGGCATCGAATTGTGCCTTTTGTAAGCCGCCCTGAGTCCCCCTTCGGGGGTTGAGAAGGGCGGGGTAGAAATGCTTGAAATAAATAAATAATAAATAAACATCCCCAAGGAGTGAAATATATCTTGAAATGAAAAACATAAACATATATATTGCCACTCTAGGAGCCCCCAGTGGCACCATGGGTTAAACCAGCATTTCTCAACCTGGGAGTCAGGACCCCATGGGGGGGGGGGGGGGGGGGGGGGGTCGCGAGAGGGTATCAGAGGGGTTGCCAAAGACCATGAGAAAACAGAGCATTTTCTGTTGGTCCTGGAGGTTCTGTGTGGGAAGTTTGGCCCAATTCTATTGTTGGTGGTTCAGAATGCTCTTTGATTGTAGGTGGACTATAACTCCCAGCAACTACAACTCCCAGATGTCAAGGTCTATTTTTCCCAAACTCCCTCAGTGTTCACATTTGGGTATATTGAGTATTCATTCCAAGTTGGTCCAGATCCATCATTGTTTGAGTCCACAGAGCTCTCTGGATGTAGGTGAACTACAACTCCAAAACTCAAGGTCAATGCCCACCAAACCCAGTATTTTCTATTTGTCAGTGTGCTGTGTGCCAAGATTGGTTCAGTTCCATCATTGGTGGAGTTCGGAATGCTCTTTGATTGTAGATGAACTATAAATCCCAGCAACTAAAACATTCAAACGACAAAACCACCCCCCCCCCCAACCCCACCAGTATCCAAATTTGGGCATTCTGAGTATTTGTGCCAAATTTGGTCCAGTGAATGAAAATACATCCTGCATATCAGATATTGATATTATGATTCATAACAATAGCAAAATTACAGTTATGAAGTAACAATGAAAATAATTTTATGGTTGGGGGTCACCACAACATAAGGAACTGTATACAGCATTAGGAAGGTTGAGAAACACTGTGCTGGCAGGACTGCTGACTGATAGGTCAGTTATTTGAATCCGGGGAGAGTGGGTTGATCCCCCTCTGTCAGCTCCAGCTCCCCATTCGGGGACATGAGAGAAGCCCCCCACAAGGATGGTAAGACATCAAACATCCGGGTGTCCTCTGGGCAATGCCCTTGCAGACAGCCAGTTTTCTCACACTAGAAGTGACTTGCAGTTTCTCGAGTTGCTCCTGACACGTCAAAAGAAAAATTGCCCCTGTGCAATATATTGGGGTGGGGGGTGTTGCATGAAAATTTAGCTTGCCTTGTAGAAAAACACTACAAAAATAATTGAATGACCAGCTTGCAAGGACTGACTACCAGAACCTTGATGTGGAATGCTTCTTTCTTTAGAAATAATTATTTATGATATTTTAATATGTGCCTGCAAGCTCTGTTTGTTATTACTCATCCCCATATACATTGTGTTATTCTGCACTTCCCTGGTTGCATTAAGTGCCAAATAGTCATCCTTGTCTTTCTCTTTAGGGGCTCTGTCTGCAACGTGCTACTTACTTCATGCCATGATGGCATTTGCCGACTGTGGGCAGAGACATTATTACCTGAAGATACTCTTCTGGGAGAGCAGATTTGTGAAACTAGCACATCCAGCATTAGCAGCAGCAGCAGCTTCTCTCATTCTGGGCGGCACAAAGATAACATTCAACATGCTTTGGAGGTATAGTGAAATGAATAAACTGACATCGAAGCCTCATTTTGATTTCTGTAGCTCGGTTTTGGAGAGAGTGACCTAGGAGTAGCTGACGAGACTGTTTTATTGTTTTAATGCTTGTTGATGTATTGTTTTAATTATGATTTATGTTTAATTTATGTTTAATTGTAGTTTTACTATTGTAATTTTTTGTATTGGCATCGTATCGGTGCCCAATGTAAGGCATTGAATTTTGCCATTATTTATGTGTAAAGTGCTTTGAGTCTCCCTAGGGGTGAGAAAGGCAGTATATAAATACTGTAAATAAATAATAAAAATAATAATAAAGGTACTTGATTCATTCCATGCCCCTTTTAAAGCAGCTCAACTGGCTTCCGACAATTTTCCGGGCTGAATTCATGAGGAAGAACTTCCTGACTGTGAGAGCCGTTCAGCAATGGAACTCTCTGCCCCGGAGTGTGGTAGAGGTTCCTTCTTTGGAAACTTTTAAACAGGCTGGATGGCCATCTGTCAGGGGTGATTTGAATGCAGTATTCCTGCTTCTTAGCAGGGGATTGGACTGGATGGCCCATGAGGTCTCTTCCAACTCTTTGATTCTATGATTCTATGCTGGTTATCACCTATAAAGCCCTATCCCAGTGATTCTCAATCTGTGGGTCCCCAGATGTTTTGGCCTTCAACTCCCAGAAATCCTAAAAGCTGGTAAACTGGCTGGGATTTCTGGGAGTTGTAGGCCAAAACACCTGAGGACACACTGGTTGAGAACCTCTGCCCTATACGCTTTGGGTCCAACCTATCTTCAAGACCACATCTCCTATGAACCAGCGTGACATTGAGATTTGCCAGGGAGGTCCTTCTCTTGGTCCTGTCACCATCTCAAGCACAGTTGGTGGGGATGAGAGAGAGAGTCTTCTTGATGGTGGCTCCCAGGCTCTGGAATATCCTCCCTAGAGAGATTACGTTAGTCCCCATTCTTCAAGGCTTTCGGACTAGTTTTAAAACATGGCTTTTTAGGCAGGCCTTTGACGTGTTGTAATCTATAGCCAGATTAGAGGATCCGCCAATTGCTTCACTTTGCACTTTGATCTGCCAGCTTTATTTACAGGTTCTACTATGTTTTAGGAATTTTACAATTTTATCAGATGGGATTTTATGTGTGATATTTTTACGTTAAGCTAGCACTGAACACAAGGATTACCATAAAACAGAGGAAGGGAAAATGTGTCCCTTGTACATTTAAGTATTTATTTATTTATGACATTTATATGCTGCCCTTCTCACCCCGAAGGGAACTCAGAGCACACACACAATATATTATATTATTAGCATAGTACAATGCTATGCTAATATTGTATTATACCATTATATTGTAATATTATTAGTAATATTACATGTAATATAAAATATATAATTATAATATTGTATTATTATTATTATTAGAATTATATTGTACTATTTATAATATTATAAATATTATATGTATATACAATATATTATATTATATTATACTAGCTGTCCCCTGCAACGCATTGCTGTAACCCAGTCTGTGTATATGTGTTTTGTGTGTGTATATATATGTGTGTAAAATATCACACATAAAATGTGTGTTTGCATATATATGTGTGGTTTTGTGCATGCCTTGTAATGTATCTTTTGGGAGTTGTTTTTTTGCTTTTTAAGTCTCTTCTGCTGTGTTTTTCCATGTTTTTATGAGTGATGGTCACTTGTTAGCCAGATATCTGTATTGTGTCCAAATTTGGTGTCAATTCGTCCAGTGGTTTTTGAGTTATGCTAATCCCACAAATGAACATTACATTTTATTTATATAGATTATATTATATTGTATTATTAATAAAGCACAGGAGACAAGATGGAACTGTCTTCTGCCCCTCACTCTCTTCACTCTGGCCCAGAGCAACAGTTGGTGCTGGGGGGTGGGGGTGGGGGGCTTTCAAAGTAGCACTAACCCACATAGCCAATGATGTGAGATGTTGGGAGTTGTAGTCCAACAATACTTCAAGGGCCACATGATTCCGATCAGGTCATAAAGCATCTCCTTTTCTGTTTCTCTTTCTGTGTCTCTTTCTCTACTCATGTCTTTCTCTCCACCTCACTCATTCTCTTTCAATCACAGTGTGAAGCAATATTTAAAAATGTTTATTTGACTAGGAAAGGAAACAAATATTTTAACAAATATTAGCTTAGCCCACATTTTTTTAGAAATCTGTGTTTTGCATAAGTTCATTTTCATTATAAAAAGCAAGCAATTTTCTATTTCTGCTTTAAATATATCCTCTCTTCCTCTCTCAACTCCTTCAGACAATCCACCATTTAAAAAACCTGAGAAAAGGTCAGCGAAGATCTTCAGTACTTATAACTCACACAGAAGATTTACCTGATCAGCTGGGAACCCATGAAGTGCAGCGACACATTTCTCACCACGCAAATGCTCTCTGTCATTTCCATATAGCAGCAAGCATTAACCCCAACACAGGTGAAATAAGTGATTTGTTCCTCTGAAACCAAATTACCATTTGTCCTAAGAATGTTTGAGCAATTCTCTCTCTGTGTGTTTCACTTCAAATTGTACTTAAATGCACCATTTGTACTTGGAATGTGATTTTCCTGCTTCTTGGCACGGGGTTGGACTGGATGACCCACGAAGTCTCTTCCAACTATGAGTCCCCTATGAGCTCCTCCCCCACAAATGTACCTTTTCATTGCTATCTCATCCAGTGTTTTATCATTTTATGTCATGCATTTGGCCCGCCCACTGTGATTTATTTTCCATTATGTTATTTTGTACTGTTTATTTTATTTGATTGGTTTATTTATTTTATTGTGATGTTATTTTGTTGCTGTAATGTATTTATGTTGCTGTAATGTATCGGTGGGCTTGGCCTCATGTAAGCCACTCCAAGTCCCCTTTGGGGAGGGGGTGGCAGGGTATAAATAAAGATTATTGTTATTATTATATGTTTCTATGTGCAGATAGAAATAGAGATCTTCATGAAGTTGTCGAAGGCTTTCATGGCCGGAATCACTGGGTTGTTGTGGGTTTTTCCGGGCTCTATGGCCATGGTCTAGAGGCATTCTCTCCTGACGTTTCTCCTGCATCTATGGCAAGCATCCTCAGAGGTAGTGAGGTCGCTTGCCATAGATGCAGGCGAAACGTCAGGAGAGAATGCCTCTAGACCATGGTCATATAAGCCCGAAAAAACCCACAACAACCCACTTCATGAAGTTTTCTCTGAAACAATCTTACAAAAACACATATGCTTTGTGTGTGTGTTTTTTTTTTTAAAGTAGTTAATTCCTGTCTTTGGTTAGTCAAGGAAGCGGTGTTTGCTCTACTGATATATGGGTATGAAATCTGTACAACTTTTATCTTCAACTAGCTGTACCGCCACACATTGCTGTGGCCAACCTTCCCTCCCTCTTTTTCTTTCTTCTCCTTCCTTCCTTCCTTCCTTCCTTCCTTCTTTCCCTCCCTCCCTCCCTCCCTCCCTCCCTCTTTTTTCCTCCCTTCTCTTCCCTTTCTTTCTTTCTCTCCTTCCTTCCTTCCTTCCTTCCTTCCTTCCTTCCTTCCTTCTTTCTCTTCTTCTTCCCTTCTTTTCCCCCACCTTTTCTTTCCCTTCCTCTTTCTCCCCTTCCTTCCCTCTCTACCTATTCTTGCACTGCAACTCACAGCAATCCTCCTGATTGATCTGTCTATCTACTTACCTATCTATCTGCCTGGAGGGTTGCTGGGAGTTGCCGTCCAGGAACAAGAAATTGGAAATATGTAGACATTGGGATGCTCTCAAAGAAATCCAAAGAGAAGAAAGCTTGCAGCTTGGAAGCAGTGCATTTGGATCATCATCCTCTCCTAAAGGGCCTGGTCTAGGGGATGCTGGGAGCAGTAGTTCAGAAGAGAGTGTGGATATGCTATTGTGTGTTTTGTTTGCCAGGGGGAGTCATTTTTGCGCATGTGCTGTAGCATCTTTTTTTACTTTTTGGGCTTTTTAAGTCCCTTCCATTGTATTTTTGAGTGTTTTTATGTATGATGGTCACTTGTTGACCTCATAGATATATTGTTTCCAAATTTCATGTCAATTAATCCAGTTATGAGTTATGTCAATCCCACAAACGAACATTACATTTTTATTTATATAGCTTGTGCTTCTTTGAATGTTAATTCTCTGATTGATGCAGAGAAGCAATCCACTTTGGGTTATCCCTTCACCACCCAGAAGATAATTAACTTTTTTGAAAGGCTCAAAATAGATATTTTTCTAAAATCCTGTTTTAGTTTATCCTTTTCCTACAAAGGCTTACATCTTGTTGCTAGTACTAGATAGAACAGATCTTTATGTTATAGTTATCCTTTCTGACATCTTTCTAACTCAGGCATGGGCAAAATTTTAACTTAAGGACCACATAACGGGCCAGAGTGAGGTGGGTGGGCCAGACAGGGGGGGGAGGTCAGGGGGTTGGTGCGAGATGGAGAAGGGTTGGCCTCCACTGCCATGGGGTTCAGCTGCTCCTCACCAGCACACTCCCTTCTTCTGGGCCTCTGCCCCTGGTGACAAGAAGGGCAGCTTCTCCTCCTCTTCCTCCTCCACTGCCACCATCTGGGCATGCAGCTGCCTAGGGTTCTCCTTCCCTTCCCTCCTGCTCCTGTTGTTCTTCTTTCCAAGGGGGAACTTGCCCTTGAGGAAGGTGGGGACAAGCAGAGAAGGAGGAATAGGAGGTGGAAGAGGAGCTGCCCTCCTCCTTGTCAGGGGCAGAGTCCTGGAAGAAGGGGAACACACTGGCTTCACCAGCACCAGTGAGGAACAGCTAAGTTCCTTGGAGGTGGAGGCCAAGATGCAGGCCAGGAGAAGGTTCTGTCTGGGGCTGCTGCAGCTACGTGTCACTTCACTAGCCTTCTCTCAGCATGAGGATGTGAGCAGGCCACCACGTCCTCATGCTTATAGGTAGATGAAAGTCTTACTTAGGCAATCCCTCGTTGTCCGAGTAGGATTGTCTTCCAAGATCGGCATCCTGGCGGTGGGTACGTAGGTGACTGTGGAGCCCTATTCTTGATCTGCATCGTCTCCCGCAGTAAGGGCATTGATTTCCAGGTGGAAGGCGGTCCCGGTCAGAGTTGGCACATTTCTGTCTTTCGCCCTCCATTCATGCCTCTTCAAATTCTACAGCACTGCTGGTCACAGCTGACCTCCAGCTGGAGCGCTCAAAGGCCAGGGCTTCCCACTTCTCAGTGTCTATGCCAGAGTTTTTAAGGTTGGCTTTGAGCCCATCTTTAAATCTCTTTTCCTGCCCACCAATGTTCCATTTTCCGTTCTGCTTTGGGAGACGTTGGTCAGGCATCCGGACAGCAGAGTTGATGGCGGAGGGCCATCTCTTCAATGCTGGTGGTCTTTGCTTCTTCCAGCACGCTGACATTTGTCTGCTTGCCTTCCCAAGAGATTTGCAGGATTTTTCAGAGGCAACGATGATGGAATTGTTCTAGGAGTTGCATGTGACATCTGTAGATAGTCCACGTCTTGCAGGCATATAGCAGAGTTGGGAGGACAATAGCTTTATAAACAATCACGTTGGTCTCCCAATGGATGTCCCGGTCCTCAAACACTCTGAGTTTCATTCGGAAAAATGCTGCACTCGCAAGTCTCAGGTGGTGTGGTATTTCAGTGTCAATGTTGATTTTTGTGGAGAGGTGGCTGCCAAGGGAGTCGAAATGGTCAACATTTTCTAATGTTACACCATTAAGCTGGCATTGGAGAGCGATTGGCTGGTGACTGCTGGAAAAGCACTTTGGTTATCTTGATGTTCAGTGATATGCCAAGTTTCTCGTATGCTTCTGCAAAGGTGTTTAGAGTGGCTTGTAGGTCTTCTTCTGAATGCGCACAGAGTGAGAAAGGAGGGCCTGAAAAAGAGCTCAAAGGGCTGCATCTGGCCCCAGGGCCTAGGTTTGTCCATACTTATTGTAACTTATTTTATCTAAGCCTACCCTCCCTCATGGAAATAATATATGTCTTAAGTATCTTGTTCAAGATCAATAATGTATGTGTTTGTTCATTCTGAAAAAAAATATTTTGTCCTTCAGACATTCCAGCTGCTTTGGTTAAGACAGCTTTTAATTTAGAAGACGGAAATGATGGCTTCGTGGTCCATTGGCTTAATAACAAAGAATTCCACTTTACGTCCTCGACTGAAATATTTATGCAACATCTTCGAGAACTTACTGATCAACAGATGGAAAAAGCGGATGAGTATTTTGAAACAGAGAAGGAAGAAGAGAGAGAGAGAGGTTTACTTATGAAGCTTGATCATGGTTAGCAATGTGCACTTCCTTTCTTTTGTGGGTACAGCTGGATATTTGGGATCAGGACCGCTTTGAGTCTCCTTGTGGAGAGAAAAAGCGAGGTATAAATAAACATAATCATAATAATACAGGGCTAGTCAAAATGAATAGGCCAATAAGAAAATTAATTTTAGACGAATGTATGTTTACTGTAACCAAACCACAGCTACGTAGCGACAGATAAAACTATCAAAGTTTTTTTTGAGCAACACACATGTACGTTAATGCCGCTAGGCGTCGCTAGGGGTCGCTGTTTTCAAAATGGCGGAATCAAGCAAAGAGAAGGCGTTTTGTGTGATGACATTTGCTAAAACAATGTCAGTAATTACGGTCCAGCGAGAATTTCGAGCCAAGTATGGCAAGGAACCACCTCATCGACATTCCATTGCGAGGTGGGTAAAGCAATTTGAGGAGACGGGCTGCTTATGCAAGGGTAAAACCACAGGACGACCACGTGTCTCCGAAGACACAGTGGAATCCATTCGTGCATCCTTTCAACGAAGTCCCCAGAAGTCGACAAATCGTGTGGAATGAACTGGACTATCGCTTGGACATCTGCCGTGTCACATGGGGCGCCCATATCGAACATCTCTGAAGGTGAGACAAAACTTTGATAGTTTATCTGTCGCTACGTAGCTGTAGTTTGGTTACAATAAACATACATTCGTCTAAAATTAATTTTCTTATTGGCCTATTCATTTTGACTAACCCTGTATTTAAAAGTAATTTTAAATTAATGTTTGAATTAAAATATCTAAACATTAAAATAAAAATAAACAGTAACTGTTAAGTTTGAGATTTCTTGTAGTACAATATTTATTTTAGGAACTATAGCTTTTCCTCAATAAATTTACTATTAATATATTGATCAAGAAACCATAATTACTTTTATACTCATTAATATAAGTTGGCCTCATGTGTAAATTGGGTGCAAGATTTGGGGCCAGCTTTTAGGTCAATTTTTTGACTAAAATTCCTAGACTTACCCACGATCAATTTGTTTTATCCTGTACTTTAGGTGGAAACACATAATTTCTTGTATGTTCCCTTTAATTTCAGAATTGTCTCTAGATAGAGAGTCTGAGACTGGAACTGGAACGGGTTCCTCAGAACATGAAGATGGGGAAAGAGAAGGGAGCCCCAAAATAGTTTCACCAGCTGCCTCACGCATGCCACTCCCTACCGTCTTGTTGGATCGAAAAATTGAGTGGCTCCTTAAAGAATGGAACAAGAATCCAGACATGCTCTTCACCATTCATCCAGTGGATGGTACCTTTTTAGTGTGGCATGTGAAGTATTTGGATGAGTACAACCCAGGGATCTTTCGACAAGTTCAGGTATAGGTTTGGATTGAATTATGTATTCAGCTACCTTTGTCATAAATACTCTCTAAACATCAAAAAACATTTAAAAGGTTCTTATATATTGTTATATTGTTCACATTGAGACAGTATACCACAGAGTAATACAGAGAAAGTAAATAGTCACACAGACTACTATGACTACACCATAATGTTTATGGACTGGATCAAAGTGCAATATAATCTGACACAATGCCACAAGAATGTTGTTGTTGTTGTTTTAAACTGTTTATTTTATTTTGGTTTATACTTATTGATGTATTTGGATTGTTGTTTACATGATTTTAATATGTTGTAAGCCGTTTTGGGTCCTCTGGGGCGGCGGGGGGGGGGGGGGGGGGGGGGGGGGGGGGGGGGGGAGTGGGATATAAATAAAGAATTATTATTATTATTATTATTATTATTATTATTATTATTATTATCAGAAACACAACAAGATTAGTACACAGCAAATTTATTTTATTTTATTTATTTATGACATTTATATGCCGCCCTTTTCACCCCGAAGGGGACTCAGAGCAGCTTACAAGATATATATACATACAATATATTATATTATTAGCATAGTACAATGTCAGTATTAAATATTACTGTATTGCATTATACTATTAATAATATTACATGTAATATAAATATATATTTATAATATCGTATTATTATTATTATTATTATTATATTGCATTACATTGTAATATTATAAATATTATATATATATATATATATATATACATACAATATATTATATTACATTATATTATATTATTAAAATAGCATAGGAGACATGGTGGAACTGCCCCCAGTGCCCCCTCTCTTCACTCTGGCCCAGAGCGGCTTTTGTTGCTGGGGAAAGGGATCCCCAGCTGATGACATTATTATTATTATTATTATTATTATTATTATTATGGACACAAACAAAGGTGATTTTTGCATTTTGCTCAACATTCACACACATATACACATTCATTCCTCATCATGCATACATTACCATCTCTTCTTCCTTCTCCTGGGAAACAGATCCCGAAGTAGGCCAGATTGCATTCCCTGTAAATTTGCCATTCTACGAATACACCATCTTTCTCCATCCCTTGGAGAAGATGGCGGGTGGAGGAGAAGCCTTCTTTCTACCACAATTTTGGAATAGTAAAGTGTCTCTTATAAAGCAATACCTTTCTGATGTTGTTCCAAAAAGTTGTAAATGAATGACAGGTATTTTCAGCTATAACTTCCTGACTCCATCAGTTCCTGGGCAGATGTTGACTTTTCTTCTTAAGTGATAATTGGTTTTCCTTCTTACGTAAGGAATCCTTGTAAATACTTCCTTATGTAAAAGAGTAATTGTCTCTGTTAATGTAAATATGTTGTTTTCCACCAAAGGTTAATCATTTGTCTCTGATCATCAATGTCAGCAGTTTGGTAACATTTAATTACAGTTCATGTAGTCTTCTTTTGTAGTCTTCCAGGTTTCATTTCTTAGGATGGCATCTTTAGTCTCAATAGGTCCCAACCTCACATGATTTCATTCAAACCATACATCATATATTTATCACAACTTGAGAATGCAAAAAGACTAGTTTAATCACTAATACAGGCTGGGACTCCCTTGCCAAAATGCTTGGATTTCAGGTTTTCTTTTCTTTAATACCCATATTTGCATATATGTAGTAAAGGAGAGATGACGTGGAAATTTATTTATTTATTTATTTATTTATTTATTTAAAAGTTTTCTATACCGATCTTCTCACCTCCAAGAGGGACTCAGATCCGGTTCACAACATGAGTTCATATACAAAAATACAAACTACACAATGTATTATCATTACACAATTAAAAACATATTACAATACAACATCGTCATCATCACAATTACACAGCCAAGTCGTCAAACATTCATGGTCATAATTCACAGTTAATCATTCTCCTTCCATGTGGACCAAAGATTGACTCAGTTATCAAAGGCCGCATTCCAGAGCCAAGTCTTTGTTAGCTTCCTGAATGTCAGAAGGGAGAGAGCAGTTCTAATCTCCTGTGGGAGGGAGTTCCAAAGCCGGGGAGCCACCATCGAGAAGGCCCTGTCTCTCGTCCCCACGACCCGCGATTGTGACAGTGGTGGGATCAAGAGCAGGAAATCACATGCCCAGTGTGATAGTTTTTCCTCAAGAAGGCCTTTCTGCACAGCTTTCAGAAATTTGATAAGGAGGGAAGAGGGGAAGACCCTGTAAACAGCAGATGTAATAGATCTTTTTTATGTAAGAACTGTTCAGCAATTGAATAATATTGACGGCAACAACAGTTTGTTACCCACCTCTCTCTGTGGCCCGAGGTAGGGTACAATATCTTTTAAATAAGAGATAAAACCCTATTGAGACACATATAATAGGGCTGAATTTGCATGTTTTCGAATTGCTAGGTTAGCAGAAGCTGGGACTAATAGCAGGAGCTCATCCCACTCCCTGACTTCAAACTGCTGACCTTTCGGTCAGCAAGTTCAGTAGCTCAGTGGTTAACCCACTGCGCCACCGGGGGTATAATTGTAAACACTTACCTAAAAGAGTAATTGCCTCTGGTAATGTAAACATGTTGTTTTCCACCAATGGTTGTGGACTCTCCATCTATGGAGGTCCTTGAACTGAGGTTAAATGGACATCTTTCAACAATGCTTTATTTGTGTATTCCTGCATGGCAGGTGATTGGCCCTTGTGGTCTCTTCCAATGCTATTATTCTTTCTCTTCCTCTCAATGTTTCTGCCTTTCTCTCTTACTCCTTTCCTCTTGTTTTCCCTTAACTCGCTTTTCTTGCTTTCTCAATTGATTCTGAAAGGCACATGAAGTATGGCTGAAGCAACAAGTAACCTATGCATGTTTTAACATCCGATCTAGCCCCAATACTTTCTTAATTAAGATGAGGGCGTTGTAGAATCAGCAGTAGTTTTTGACATCTTCTCCATATCTCCTTTCCTCTTTTCTAGGTCACGTTTTCTTCTCAGATACCAGTTGCATTCCCTTCAGGTGATGCAAGCTCCCTTAGTAAAAACATCATGATGTATGCCTGCACTACCTCCACAAAAGGAGTCATCAATGCGCCACTACAAAAGAGGAGTAGCTTTTCTGACAGCCTCTCCGGATGGAGACCGAGCTGTTCCCAGGACAGTTCCACCGTGAACATTACCATTCCTACAGTCATGATGGTTTCCAAGCACATAGATGGCTCCCTGAACCAGTGGGCGGTTTCCTTTGCGGACAAGTCGGCTTTTACGACTGTGCACACTGTAACTCACAAGTTTCGGTATTGCGGGCACCGGTTTCATCTGAATGACCTTGCCTGCCACTCAGTGCTGCCACTTCTGTTAACATCTTCCCATCACAATGCCCTCCTAACCCCTGAATCCAGCCAGCCGTGGGATTCAGATGGGTTAAATAAAATGATGGACCCCATGAAACATTTGAAAGCATCTTCCAGGCAGCAGCTTAGAAACGCTGCAACACGTACATTCCACGATCCCAACGCTATCTACAGCGAACTGATTTTGTGGCGCGTGGACCCCATTGGACCTTTGTCGTACACCGGAGGAGTATCGGAACTGGCTCGCATTAATTCTCTCCATACCTCAGCTTTCTCTAATGTGGCCTGGCTCCCAACCCTTATTCCTAGCTATTGCCTTGGTAAGTGATGCTGTGCAAAATAGCCTTGTAAAGAAATTGGGAACATCTTAGGTGTTCTTCCTTTGCCTAATAATAATAATATTGGCAGATGGTTGGACTGAATGGCTCATGAGGTCTCTCCCGATTCTATGATTTTATACCAGTCACCCATAGAAAACCATATCCAAGAAACTAGAGCTGATATGGTCTATCCAATCCAATTTTCTGAATCAGCACCCCAGATAATCCTAGGAACACAACTAAAAACCGAGACACCAAGAAACATTTTTGTTGTTGTCACTCTGTTAATTTGTCACCTTATGGCACTTGTCTTTCCAGCAATAATTCTTCAAGCATATGGCTCATATTAAATGCTATATTGGCTTTTGTTTTTAAATTAGGCACATACTGCAATTCTGCTAGCGCTTGCTTTGTGGCATCGGATGGGAAAAACCTGAGGTTATACCAAGCAGTGGTGGATGCACGGAAGCTTTTGGATGAACTGAGTGATCCTGGATCCTCGGTAAGTCCCATGGTTTATGACTTCTGATGTATAAACAGCCAAAAGATATTGACAGATCAAAATGCAATCTTTATTCCAATATGGAGAGTGAAGTATTTTAGTACAAACCTAGAGAACTACTGAAAAGTTAATTATTTTTGCCTTGTTTGTGGTTTGCCCAGCATTATTTTTAAATTTTAATTTTACATTTGGCCCAGCCATAGGTTTTTAAATGCTTATTGTGTTACTGTATTGCTTATTTTTATTTTTGCTTATGAGTTATATTTTAACTGTTTTGTATTGTTTGTTTGCTATTGCTTTATTATTGTTGTATTGTGGGCTCGGCCTCATGTAAGCCGCACCGAGTCCCTTGGGGAGATGGTAGTGGGGTATAAATAAAGGTTATTATTATGATTATTATTATTATTATTATTATTATTATGTATCTCTATCCATGTCCCACCAATCTAAGAAAACACACCGACAACAAATGGAAAACACCAACTTAATTGCTTATTTTACCTTCAGGGAAAACTGTTTTTGTATCGTAAAATGTAGCATTAGTGTTAATTTTGGTTTAGCTCATTATCTTGTGTAGTTACAGACCTTTTAAGGCAAACATTGGAATTAAAACATAACTATTAAGAAATACAATAATAAAATAAGCAAAAAGGCAGAGAAATGAAATCTTGTTCATTTCTTAAAAATCAATATTTAGAGCAAATACTAAAGTAGGATTTGACCTAGAAGGAAAAAACATGAAATATTGCAATTAAGGAAAAGGACTCAGAAAGTCAAGGTGCACATATTATTTAAGTATTTTTATTATAATCATGAGGTGCTGGAAAACAATGGTCCCACTTGAGCATCAGCTTGGTGATGTAACCTAAAATACAAATCATCTGCTAACGTTTCCTTCCCTTTTTAGAAACTCATTGGGGAAGTTTTTAACATTGTGAGCCAGCAATCGACAGCTCGACCTGGATGCATAATTGAACTAGATGCCATAACAGACCAGGTATGATAATTCCTCATTATTTGGATTGATTTTTGTTTCTTAGCTAATGATCCAGAAGGAAAAGACTTAGTGGTTTAAAACACAGAGAATTGCATATATTAATGTTTATTTTCTGTAAGTTTTTGGTACCCGTGGTGGCGGAGCGGGTTAAACCACTGAGTTGCTGAACTTACTGACTGAAAGGTTGGCAGTTCGAATCCAGGGAGCAGGTTGAGTTCCCGCTGTTAGCCCCAGCTTCTGCCAACATAGCAGTTTGAAAACATGCAAATGTGAATAGATCAATAGATACTGCTTCTGCGGAAAGGTAACAGCATTCATGCAGTTATACTAGCCACATGACTTTGGAGGTGTCTATGGACAACACTGGTTCTTTTGCTTAGAAATGGAGATGAGCACCACCCCCCAGAGTCAGACACAACTAGACTTAATGTCAAGGGGAAACCTTTACTTTTTTACTATATGTTTATGGAAGTAGGTTAGATCAGCGATGGTGAAACATTTAGTTGTGGGAAAACATTTTAGAGATGGGGGGCACTCAAGGGGACAAGTGGGGTGGGGAGTAAATTATTATTATTATTATTATTGTTATTATTATTATTATTATTATTATTATTAGAAACACAACAAGATGAGTCCACAGCAGACAAGATCACTCTGCCGGCTGTTGTATTGGATCGCATGTCGGACACTTCCCTATTATTATTATTATTATTATTATTATTATTATTATTATTTTACCAGCCTCTCATAGCTCGAGGTGGATTACAGCATAATTAAAACACATAAATACTATTAAAAAAGCTATACACACATTACAATATATTTCTATAAAACAGTGGTTCCTAACCTGTGGTCCGTGGACCACTAGTGGTCCCCAAGAATGAAAATATGGCCCGCAGCCTCACCATTACTACACCATTGCAACTGGTCTCGCAAAACCTTCTTATAGTGCCAAGGCAATGGGAATGTTGGGAGGGGAGAGACCAACTACCAATGAAAGATTTCTACTACCACATCAGCTCCAGATTATTAAATACGGTTTTCTGTGTGCGAGCAGATGGCGACTACTGAATGGTATATTTTCTGTATCAGAAACTAGAGCTAATGTAGTCTATCCAATGCAATTTTCTGAATCAGCACCCCAAATAACTAGCTGATGTGGTCTATCCAAGGCAATTTTCCGAACCCCAAATAACCAAACCAAATCTAAAGTTGACCAAAAACTAATTAGTAATCCTTTTGGCACTAATGTTGGAGAGTGGTCCCTGGTCAAAGTGGTCCCTGGTCAAAGAAAGGTTGGGAACCACTGCGATAAAAGATATGCGTAGAATTGATATGTGCCTTTGTGTTAGTGGTGGAAATGTCCAAACTGGTAAGAATTAAAACTTCCCTTTCACACTTCCTTTTCCCTATCTACTGTATGTACTCATATATATGTCTGGGAAATATAGTCAAAACATCTACCCAAAAAACCAGGGTTGACTTATCCATGGGTCAGTGAAACAAGATGTTGGTCTAAATAACGTGATCGCAATTAATATTCATAAGTATGAGGAAGAGTTATTTTGAAATCCTTCAAGGATTTGAGTGCCTATGCCGCAGCCTTACAAGCACTAGGCTTTTTTGATATGCAAAACTAAGTAATGTTTTGCTTTAAAAAATGAAAATGAAATCCTCTGAAAGGAAGTCCCTTATGCATTATGTAAGTTGCCTGACTCCTCGGGGAATTAGCATAATTTTGTTCCCTCCTGTGATAAATTAATCAACCGAGTAGATCCTTTGTAATTAAATTAAAGAGAGCTTTATTCACTGACTACTTCTGTAACGAGCTGTTGCGTAGGTTTTAGCAACTGATTTTAAAAACACACACATTAGGTTCACTCTTTTTATGTTCACTTTTTATCTTCACTGCAATTTCTGATAGATTAGGTTTGTACTTCAGTTATAGCTGTTACGTTTAAGTTGTCCTTTTATGTTGAGTTATTCTGGGTGATTATATTTGCACTTATTGTTATTGAGGTATTGAATGTTTGCCTTTAGCTACCAGTATTAAAAAACTCTAAAATTAGAACAGCACAACAACAGAGAGGAAACAAACAAGGATATGTAATCACCTCTCAGCAAAAGATTGCTCTAGGCACGTCCAGGCAATCATATGCTAATCAAGGTGGTCAGTTGAAACATTCACACCTAGCTCCAGCAGACAAGAGTCCTTTGTCCCACCCTGGTCATTCCACAGATATATAAACCCCTTTTCCTGGTTCCAACAGACCTCACTACCTCTGAGGATGCTTGCCATAGATGCAGGCGAAACATCAGGAGAAAATGCCTCTAGACCATGGCCATATAGCACGAAAAAACCTACAACAACCCAGTGTTTGCCTTTTGTTTGTTGGAATCTGCCCTGAGCGCCCCCCCCCCCCCCCCCCGGGGAGATAGGGCAGAATACAAATAAAGTTTTATTATTACTCTAAGAAAGACTCTGTTTTTTTAAAAAAATTCTAATCTTGATCTAAACCATGTTGCCTTTGCCATTTTGAAGACTGTGATGAGTCTGGAACATCTGGACCGTGAATCCTCCCACCAAAAGCCCTGCTCTTCTGTGATTGGCTGACCTCTCAGCTGGCCTCTCAGGCAAGGGGAGGGCTGTTGCTGTGAAGGGGAGAGCACGCGTGCTGTCTCCTAAATCACTCAATTCTTCCCAAATCCCTCCAGTATTTTCTGTTGGTCATGGGGGTTCTGTGTGGGAAGTTTGGCCCAATTCTATCGTTGGTGGGTTTCAGAAAGCTCTTTGATTGTAGTTGAACTATAAATCCCAGCAACTACAACTCCCAAATGTCAAGGTCTATTTTCCCCAAATTCCACCAGTGTTCACATTTGGGCTTATTGAGTATTTGTTTCAAGTTTGGTCCAGATCCATCATTGTTTGAGTCCACAGTGCTCTAAGGATGTAGGTGTACTCCCAAACTCAACGTCAATGCCCACCAAACCCTTCTAATATTTTCTGTTGGTCATGGGAGTTCTGTGTGCCAAGTTTGGTTCATTTCTATCATTGGTGGAGTTCAGAGTGCTCTTTGATTGTAGGTGAACTATAAATCCCAGCAACAACTCCCAAATGACAAAATTAACACCACCACCCCACCACCACCACCACCCCAATCCCACCAGTCTTCACATTTGGGCATATGGGGTATTTGTGCCAAATTTGGTCCAGTGAATGAAAATACATCCTGCATACATCAAAGAGCATTCTGAACTCCACCAACAATGGAATTGAATCAAACTTAGCACAGAGAATTCCCGTGACCTACAGAAAATACTGGAAGGGTTTGGTGGGCATTGACCTTGTGTTTTGGAGTTATAGTTCACCTACATCAGGAGAACACTATGAATCTGGACCAAACTTGGCAAAAATACTCAGTATGACCAAATGTGAACACTGGTGGAGTTTGGGGAAAATAGAGTTGTAGTTGCTGAAATTCATAGTTCACCTACAATCAAAAAGCACTCTGAAGCCCAACAACGATTGAATTGGGCCAAACTTCCCACACAGAACCCCCATGACCAACATAAAATACTGTGTTTTCTGATGGTGTTTGGTGACCCCTCGCCACCCCCCATGGGGTCCCGACCCTCAGGTTGAGAAACGTTGTTCTAGAAGCATTCTCTCTTGATGTTTCACCCACATCTATGGCGGGCATCCTCAGAGGTCTGTTGGAAACTAGGAAAATTGGGTTTATATATCTGTGGAAAGTCCAGGGTGGGAGAAAGAACTCTTGTCTGTTGGAGCTAGGTGTGAATGTTTCAATATTAGTACAATGCCTGGAATGTTCATTGTGTGTGGCTGTGCTAATTCCTTTCTAATGTGGTTTCTAGTGTGGCTCCAACACACAGCTCCTTCATGTCTTCCAAGAGGACTTCATTTTGGGATACAAACCACATAAGGAAGAGGCAGAGCAAAAGGAAGCAGAGATATTTTTCCAGCCATCGAAAGGTAAAGTTGAAACAGTTCATGGGTTTTGAATAACCAAGGAGCCAAATTTAAGCTACAGCTCCATTATCATACGTTGTGTGTTTGATCTTAGTCTTCATTGCCTAGTTAGTAGGCTTGGGTAACCACGGAAAAATTTGGTTCTAAATTCGTTTTGTTTTTAGGGGGCCCTTGCGTTTCGTTTTTTTTAATAATTCCGAAATTTTCCTTTTAAAAATTTCGAAATATACGAAATTTCGTATAATTGCGAATCGATTCGTTAATGGCAGACGCAATTGTGCAATATGCTAAAAAAAACCTCCAAATGGGACAGGGGGAACTTCTGAAGCTTCCTTCTCCCTCTGTTGTTGACTGTTGGTGTGATAAAACAAACAACAACTATAAAACTTTCACCAGACATGCGAAAATAATTACGAAATAATTACAAAATAGTTTCGAAATAATTACGAAATAATTACGAAATAAATTGAAAAAAATTGTTTCGAATCTAATTTACTCCTCACACTATTCCTGCATGGCTCAATATTGGATCGTAAGCTAATTTAAATACGAATTAATAACGAATTACGAAATTAACGAACGAAACCGCCCAAGCCTACTAGTTAGCTATAGTTTCCTGGATCACATCCCCATTTGGACAAAGAATAGAACAAAAAGGAAGCAAAGGTGCATGGGATTTGTGTATATCCAGGTTTAATAAACTACACCATAAACTTAATAAACTTTGCATCATGAATTATATTTTTAATGCATCATGAATTAGTTTTTAATTCTGTCAGAATTTGGCAGTGCCTTACTATATGGTCAGGTTCTTGTAAATGCCACTGGCATTTGCGTTTATTGAAATATCAGGTTTGCACTTTTATTTGATTTCTGAACAGGCTATAGACCACCACCCTTCTCCGAAAAGTTTTATCTAATTGTAATTGAAAAAGACACCAATGGCTGCTCAATACTTCACATGTGGCACCTCCATCTAAAATCTGTGCAAGCATTTATGGGTAAGTGCAACTTTTCTAGATGTACATATATTTTTTTACCATAAAGATAGTATTTTATGTATTTTGTTTGTTTGAAGCACTCTAATGAAGAAATCTGTCAGTGCAGCTTAGAAAATAAATAAAACAGGGTCAACAAGTGACAATTCAGTGAGAGAATTTCCAAACATCAGGAGAATCCTCTCAGAATATATGAAAAATTAAAAGCACCAGAGCACGGAACGGACTTTTTCTTGGAACCTAAAAATTAGGAGTTAGAGGTTCCAGCTCTGTTTGCATATAGTATTGGGAAGTACTTAGTGTATTCAGACTCCAAACTTCTGTGCTTTGAAGCATTTGCATATATTAAATTTATGAACACATATAGTAGAAATATTACTGGGATTAACCGAATGTACTCGAGTATAAGCTGACTCTAATATAAGCCAAGGCACCTAATTTTTCCACAAAAAAACTTGGGAAAATGTATTGACTCGAGTATAAGCTGAAGGTGGAAAATGCAGCAGCTACTGGTAAATTTCAAAATAAAAATAAAAACCAATAAAATTACATGAATTGAGGCATCAGAAGGTTAAATGTTTTGAATATTTACATAAAACCGTAATTTAAGATAAGACTGTCCAACTCTGATTAAACCATTATTCTAACCTTCTTCAATGTAAATGTGTTTACGTATCCTTCCAATAATAATAAAGGGAGTATAATAATAAATGTAGTAGTAATAATAGAAGAGTAAAAAATGGAAATGTAATAATAATAATAATAATAATAATAATAGAGTAAAATAATAAATGTAATAAAAACAATAATAATAGAGTAAAATAATAAATGTAATAAAAACAATAATAATAGAATAAAATAATAAATGTAATAACAATATTAAATAGAGTTAAATAGTAAATGTAATAATAATGACAGAGTAAAATAATGTAAACATAATAACAATAATAGATAAAGTAAAATAATACCATAATTATAACTGTAAAATAATGTAAATGTAATAATAAGAATAAGAATAAATAGATTAAAATAATAAATGTAATAAGAATAAGAATAATAACACAGTAAAATAATAAAAAACCTTGACTCAAGCATAAGCCGAGGGGGCCTTTTTTAGCCTAAGAAAAGGACTGAAAAACTCGGCTTATACTCGAGCATATACAGTGCATATCAGAAAATGATGTCATATTTTGAATTGATGACATATTCCTCTTGCTAGGGTTAAAAACTGCTTGAAATCTGCTAGATACAGTCCAATATGGAGTTAACTTTCAGTGTGATCATGGCCATAATTTTCACTGAGATTTTACTACTCTTTATATAGAATATAGAAAAATATAGAGAAATACAGTAGATGTACTTTTAACTACATATAGATAGGATTGCACTGAAATGTTCATCAAGTAATTTCACTGACACATTCAAAATCACAAGCAAGGAAGGAGAGCATGACCTGCTAAAAATTACAGTGCATATTTTAGCTATTTTTTTAGTTGTGTGCGCTTAATGAAAGATAAAGAAATCTATCCTTGTCGCATACCAATGCTGGTTGTTCACTGCGTTTTTTTAAAGCAAAACCAACTGAGATTCCCACATCGGGCAACCAGCTGAGTATACCTGGGCAAGCGGCTGCCGATTCATCTCCGGATACCTCCCCCGGCGCAACTCCCATGCCACGTTCTTCATCTGTTGCCAATCTTCAGACAGCCAGCAAACTTATTTTGAGCTCTAAACTAGTGTATAGCTATCCTTTGAATCTTCCAGTTGGTGTAGAAGTCGTACGAGCTACTCCTTCTGCAGGTAAAACCATATTGTGAACTTAGTTGATTCTTAGCTATTGCATTCTCAGTCATTTATAGGTTTTGACCTATAAAGCTCTATACGGTTCTGGCCCAGCTTACTTGTTCGAACGCATCCACCCCTATGTCCCACCTCAAAACCTAAGATCATCTGGGGAGGCCCTGCTCTCGCTACCATCAACAGCACAAATGCGCCTGGCGGGGATGAGAGACAGGGCCTTCTCGGCGGTGGCCCCCCGCCTATGGAACACACTCCCAACTGAGGTAAGATCGGCCACCTCCCTCCTCGTTTTTTGAAAGAAACTAAAGGCATGGTTTTGGGACCAGGCTTTTGGACAATAGATGCAAACAGCACTCTAAGGGAATATGACTGGAATGACAATATGGCTGGTGAGATTATTTTATTGTTTTAACGATGGCTTATGTATTGTTAATTATGCTTTTATGTCTAATTGTGGTTTTAATTTGTAATTTGTTATGTAATGGCTTCGGAATGGGGCCCATTGTAAGCCGTCCTGAGTCCCCCTTCGGGGGTTGAGAAGGGCGGGATAGAAATGCGAGAAATAAATAAATAAATAAATAAATTCAGGCAAACCTTAGCAAGTTGGAAAATATCCGATTAATTTGTTTGGGCTCTGAAAGCACCATGAGCAACTGACATAGGCTACATTCAGACATGAGGATTCAAGAGATGAAGCAAACAAAATGTTAAGTTGGGTTCCCTGGCTTATCTCTCTCACAGTACAACAGAGAAATATTCAGGATTTGTTGTAAGGTTTTCTGGTTTGTCAAGAGAGAAAAAGCTACATTCCGGATTCAAACAAGCCACAGACTAAGACTCCTTCTACACTACCATATAAAATCCAGATTACTTTGAACTGGGTTATGTGGAAGTATAGACTCAAATAATAATAGAATCTATATAAATAAAAATATAATTTTTGTTTTTGGGATTAATATAACTTAAAAACCACTGGACGAATTGACTCCAAATTTGGACACAATAAACTTATCAGGACAATGAGTGACCATCACTCATAAAAACACTGAAAAACACAGCAGAAAAGATTAAAAATCCCCCAAAAATACATTACAATGCATGCGCAAAACCACACACACATATATATAGATACACAAACACACATATATAGACATATACACAAATATATACACACATATACACACATACACACACAAAACACATATACACAGGCTGGGCCACAGCAACACATGGCAGGGGACGGTTAGTATAATATAAAACTTTATTTATACCCTGCCACCATCTCCCAAAAAGGACTCAAGGCAGCTTACAGAAGCACATACAGGTGCCATAACCACATAAAATACAAGTAAAATCACATCAGGACAAGAGACAGGGCCTTCTCAGCAGTGGCCCCCCGCCTATGGAACACCCTCCCTAGAGATAGCAGATTGGTCACCTCCCTCTTATCTTTTAGAAGGGAAATCAAGATCTGTTTATGGGACCAAGCGTTTGATCAGTGAGCAGCAGGTAGAAGAAGATCACACAACTTAGGGCAATGAATTGACCCAGACTGGTTTTTGGATTTCGATTTTAATGGATGTGTCTTAATTAATTGTTTTAATTGTTGTTTTGATTTTTAATATTTTGATTGTACTGGGTTTTTTTTATGATGCTAGCATCTTATGATGCTTTTGTTAGGCCTCCCTGAGTATACATATAGGAAATAGATAAATAAATAAAATATTAGACAATGACAACATCAGTTCACATAAAAACAGCACATTACAAAAATAAAAACTCATCCCAATTAAAATAAATAAAACATATTATCAATTGGCATTAAAATGAAGAGTGCAACATCCCAGTTACAGCCCAGATTCGACTATTACAGTGCCAGTGTCAATATTATATTGTTTGGTCCTTAGATTTGCAGACGTCTTAATTATTTCCAAAAGCCTGCCGGAATAGCCATGTTTTCAGCTCCTTGAAAAAACATTGTAATGTGGGGGAAAGCTTAGTAATCCAGATCAAAGCAGATCATGTGGATGATCCGCTTTGATAATCTGGATTATGTGGCAGTGTTGAAGGATCCTGTGGCACATATTTAAAACTCAGGGCCTGCAGACTTCCACGTCATTTTAGGTGACTCTCCAGATGTTGGGCTAAAACTCCTGTATTCCTCATCATTAGACATTTGGCTAGAGCTGATGGGAGTTGGGATACAGTAACTCTGGACAATTGCCATTTGTCCCTTTTAGTCAAGATACTAAGGTCTGAATTTAGATACAAGGCTTGTGGAGTTTAAAATGTCCTTTAACCTTTCCCCATCCCCAGAGCCTTAAGTGCTGTTGGCTTGCAATTCCCACTATCCCCAGTCCATATGGCAGATAATGAAAAATAAATGTCATCCAATAATCTCTATGGACCCCCCTCCCCCCCCCAAAAAAGAGCACTGACCTCTATGTAAATACAAATATAAATATATAGTTGGCCCTCTGTATTCACAGATTCAGCAGCCCTTTGAAGGCAACCATAAGGCTGATGTGACCTTGATGAAATGAGTGTGACACCCCTGGACTAAGGGGTAGAGTTTGTTTAACTGCTTCTGTGTTCTCAGTGAGCTAGTATGTACTAACACGCTGTTTATATACGACAAGCTGTGTCCTGTGGTTCCCTGACATTATGTGACATGCAGAGTGGGCCCACTTTTTGTGGTGCAGTGTGTTAAACCGCTGAGCTGCCGAACTTGCTGACCGAAGGTTGGCGGTTCGAATCTGAGGAGAGGGGTGAGCTCCCACTGTTAGCCCCATCTTCTGCCGACCTAGCAGTTCGAAAACATGCAAATGTGAGTAGATCAATAGGTACTGCTTCTTCAGGAAGGTAATAGCGCTCCTTGCAGTCATGCCACATGACCTTGGAGGTAGCTATGGACAATGCCGGCTCTTTGGCTTAGAAATGGAGATGAGCACCACCCCCCAGAGTAGGACTTACTTACGTAGGCGATCCCTCGTCTGAGTAGGATAGCCTTCCAGGATCAGTGTACTGGCAGTGGGTCCGTAGGTGACTGTGGAGTCCTATTTTTGACCCTCAGTAAGGTTTCCAGGTGGAAGGTGGTCCTGGTTGGGGTTGGCTTGACGCGCCTTCCTCTTGGCACGTTTCTCTCTTTCACCCGCCATTCGTGCCTCTTCAAATTCTACAGCACTGCTGGTCACAGCTGGCCTCCAGCTGGAGCGCTCAAGGGCCAGCACTTCCCAGTTCTCAGTGTCTATGCCAGAGTTTTTAAGGCTGGCTATGAGACCATCTTTAAATCTGTTTTCCTGCCAAATAGACTTAATGACCTTGGAGTTGTCTACGGATAATGCTGGCTCTTCGGCTTAGAAATGGAGATGAGCACCACATCCTAGAGTCGGACCTGACTGGACTTCATGTCAGGGGAAAACCTTTACCTTTGCTAGACTTAATGTCAGGGGAAACCTTTACCTTGACTATTTTGAAGTCTTAAGTCACTTGTGTGCTTCGTATTGAATAATAGTGAATGTTTATTTGGTTTATCCAGGGCATCTAAGCTCCTCGTCCATTTATCCTGTTTGCCTTGCACCATACCTGCTGGTGACGTCCTGTTCGGATAACAAAGTGCGATTCTGGAGGTGTTCTGTAGAGACAGTGATGTCCAGCAAAGGTGAAATGAAGGAGACCTATCTTTGGAAGAGATGGCCCTTGATGAATGACGAGAGAAATGAGGACAGCAGCACCGTAAGCATCGTGGGAAGGCCAGTTGCTGTCAGCTGTTCCTATACGGGGCGCTTGGCTGTAGCCTATAAGCAGCCTGTGCAACACAATGGCTTTGTTTCCAAAGAATTTTCTATGCACGTATGTATATTTGAATGTGAATCTACAGGAGGATCAGAATGGGTTTTGGAGCAGACAATACACCTAGATGACCTAGTTAAAGTTGGGAATGTCCTTGATTCGAGAGTTAGTGTGGACAGCAACCTATTTGTATATAGTAAGTCGGATATCTTTTTGAACAAAGATCGATATCTTATGCCAAATATCAAGCATTTGGTACACTTGGACTGGGTTTCCAAAGAAGACGGTTCGCACATACTTACAGTTGGCGTGGGTGCAAATATATTCATGTACGGACGGCTTTCGGGAATCGTGACGGAACAAACCAGCAGCAAAGATGGCGTCGCTGTCATTACTTTACCACTAGGTGGTAGCATAAAACAAGGCATAAAGTCCAAATGGGTGCTATTGAGATCAATAGACTTGGTGTCTTCTGTAGACGGTACCCCTTCATTGCCTGTCTCTCTTTCCTGGGTCAGAGATGGAATCCTGGTGGTCGGAATGGATTGCGAAATGCACGTATATGCACAGTGGAAGCATGCCACGAAATCAGGAGACAGTGAAAAAAATGGCTTTCTTGGTGATGACTCTCCCATTCAAGACCCATTGAAGACCAGTTTGATGGCTAAGAAAACCAGCGTCATTGATGGAACAGGTGTGGTGGATGATGTCTTTGGAGCTCCCACCGTGATCCAAGATGGCGGCCTTTTCGAAGCCGCTCACGTTCTTTCTCCCACGCTTCCACAGTATCACCCAACTCAGCTACTGGAACTGATGGATTTAGGGAAAGTCCGCAGAGCAAAAGCCATTCTTTCGCACCTCGTGAAATGCATCGCGGGGGAGGTTGCCATTGTGAAAGATCCAGAAGCTGGAGATGGTGGCTCCAAGCGCCACCTTTCCCGTACCATTAGTGTGAGCGGTAGCACCGCAAAGGATGCCGTTACTACCGGGAAAGACGGCACGCGGGACTACACAGAGATCGATTCGATCCCTCCGCTGCCGTTGTATGCTCTGCTCGCGGCAGATCAAGATTCCACGTACAAAACCGAGGAAACAAAGAAAAGGCCGCAGGGCCTGGAAGACCACACTAAAAGGAAAACTGAGGATCACTATTCGGACCTTTTCCAAGTTCAACAGGTCACAACTGATGACTTTATTGATTTTGAGCCAGAAAGAAGAGAGCATAAATCCAAAGTAATCAATCTGTCTCAATATGGACCGACGTATTTTGGCCAAGAACATGCTAGCGTCCTCTCAAGCCATCTCATGCACTCTAGTTTACCAGGACTCACTCGCCTAGAGCAGATGTTCTTGGTCGCCTTGGCAGATACTGTGGCCACAACAACGACTGAACTTGACGAAAACAGAGATAAGCATTACTCAGGTAAATATATTGGTCTTTTTAAAAAAAAAAAAATCTTATTTTTTTATTTTTTAAAACATATTTTATTATGTTATAAACACAAATCAATAAGCTAAATTTCAAGTGTTACACATATAAATCCTGAGTAATTCAACAAATATTAAAGACATTATGCTAATTTACACTGGTGTAGATTACATTATCCCCACCTTCCTTCCCTCCCTCTCCAACCACAGTATATTTCTACTAATCTTGCAGATCCAGCCGCTTGTAGAGTCTTTGTATTTTTTTCTTTGATGTGATCGTTGGCTCCTCCATTTTTCACCCAGTTGAAGTAGACCTTCCATCTATTTATAATGATCTTTTCTTTATCCATTCTTGGTGCTTGGTTAGTCATAATTCCCGTAATATCTAACAACACTTGGTCATACATATAATCATTCCAATTACTTAACGTCCATTTCGATTTATCTTTCCGTCCTCTAGCAATCACCACATGGGCTGCTCTTATTGTTACCTTAAATAACTCCTGGCAATTACTTATTATACTCGGATAATCCAACACTCCCCATAGTAGCAAATCATTATTAATTTGATTTTTTATCTGGAATATCTCCTGAATTTTTCCTTGTACATTTGCCAGAATTTTTTTTATTTCAGAACACTCCCACCACATGTGTGAATAAGTACCTTTTTCTTTATTACAATGCCAACACTTCGAATTCTTTCCTTTTAACATATAAGCCAGTTGTTGAGGAGTTCTATACCATCTTAATATCATCTTTTTTTCTAATCATTATATTTTTCTGTTTTTATTTTATTCATGTTCCTAATTATTTCTTCTATTTCATGTGTCTGTAATGATTTAACTCCATTCCATTTGTTACTTATTGCTCTAACCATAAACTCTTTATCTTCTACCATTAAATTATATATTTTTGCCACTGTTCCTTTACTTGTTTTTTCTCTTGCATTTAGCAATTTATCTACCTTTAGTTCTTCAGTGGGCTGCACGCCCTCTTTTTTTACTTTTTCCCAAATCCCTCTTAATTTTAACCAATTTTCTTTTCCCTCCTTTTCCAAAAACTTTGGCCAATTAATTATCTCTCCATCTTGTTTCCACACATCTTTTACCCTCCTTAATCCCTTTTCCTTAAGGAGGTAAATATATTGGTCTTACTTTTTTGTATCCATATGACATTGTGGCCTAAATTCTATTACTAATCTTGACTACAATACAGCCATTTAATAAATATGATTTGCCTACATATTGACTCAACATTCACCTATTTATTATTTACGACATTTATATGCCGCCCTTCTCACCCTGAAGGGAATGCAGAGCGGCTTACAAATTAATATGTAAATACAATATATTAGATTATTACCATAGCACAATAATAGTATTATATATTACCATATTGTACTATAACATTATACTGTAATATTATTAGTAATATTACATGTAATATAAAATACATAATTACAATATTGTATTATTAGTAGTATTATATTGTATTACATTATAATATTATAAATATTATATGTACAGTATATTCTGGCGTATAAGACTACTTTTTAACCCAAGAAAATCTTCTCAAAAGTCAGGGGTCGTCTTATATGCGGGTGTAGTCTTATGCATGGGAGTCATCTTAACTCTATATTTTAACTGGAAAAGTTGGGGGTCGTCTTATACGCCCAGTCGTCTTATATGCCGGAATATACGGTATATACAATATATTATATTATATTATTAGATTATTAGTAAAGCACAGGATACAAGATGGAACTGTCTTCTGCCCCCCCCCCCCCTTCTCTTCACTCTGGCCAATTGATTTGGTTCATCTACTCAGCGGAAAGCAAGGAACAAAATTCTATTCTGTATGTGTTCATAAAAGCAGAATGACGCTAGTAATAATTACACTACTCTATTACAAGTTTGTAAAACAACAAGAAACCTATTAGCTTGATTGAAACTTATTAGCTTGTGTACTGAACCCTTTAAATAATCTACTGTTTTCATTTTGACTACTACCTTAAATCTTTTCACTTATGCATTGACTGAAGATTAGCATTTATAAAGTAGTTCAGGATGTTTTTCAATTACAGCCCTATTATTTGTTTGATGTCACTACTTAAATGCTTTTAAAATCCATGGATACAGTAAGGGTTATGACATAGGGTTGTTGTAGGTTTTTAGGGCTATATGGCCATGTTCTAGAAGCATTCTCTCCTGACATTTTGCCTGCATCTATGGCAAGCATCCTCAGAGGTTGTGAGGTCAACACTGAAAAAGGCTATCCATCTACATGCCCGTTTTTGGGAGGCTCGTGAAAAGGGATACGGGGGTCTACCAGAATCTGGCCAGCAGAAACAGATTGAGGTTCAGCCGAAACGCACAAGCCTGGTCAGTATATATTGAATGACCACATTTTAATTTCTTCCAGGGAGAGACACTTTAGATGAATGTGGCTTGAGGTACTTATTAGCTATGCGTTTACACACCTGCCTTCTGACATCACTCCCACCTTTATATCGTGTGCAGCTACTCCATCAAGGTAAGCTATAACGTCGGGGTTTTTTTAAGCTTGTGCAATACAACTGTCCTATGGGACAACATTTACTGTATTAGTGGAATTGGAGAAGGTTGTATTCTATATACAGTATTAAATTGCATTCTTAATTCCAGGAGTCTGTATGTTCCAAAATCCATTGTGTTGCTAAAACATAGTGGATTTCTACACCCAGTTCTTTACAATTGAGCAAATATTGGTGACTTCAGCAAATAAATTATTCATGTTCTTTTTTATTATTATTATCATTAAGGTGTTTCTACTTGCCACTTTGCCTGGGCTTTTCATTCAGAGGCAGAAGAAGAGTTAATTAACATGATTCCTGCAATTCAACGCGGGGATCCACAATGGTCTGAACTAAGAGCTGTGGGCATAGGCTGGTGGGTCCGAAATATTAACACACTCCGGCGGTGCATGGAAAAGGTAACTTGAACCCATCTTTATCTGTTTTCATTCTAACTAGAAAGTCAAGATCCTATGGATCTGCCTTACAACAAATTGGATCATGCGTCTATCTAGTTCTATATTATCTACACCCCCTGCTGTTACCAGCTTTAACTAACACAGTCACTGTGTTGGAAGTTGCAACCCAGAAATGTTTAGTAGGCCACATATTCCCTCTCCACAATCTGCATTAACTTGTTGCCACTGTCCCATCGTTTTATGAATAATGCCGATTTTGAGGACAGAATGCTCCCTAAAAAGCCTAAGAGTCTCTTCTAGTGTGAAACTCATGATGGATAGACAGATAAAGGAAGGTATAGATGAAGAATGAACCCAAACTTGTATTTTATGATTCTATATCCCTTTTGAGAGTAAAACCAATCATCACCAGCAAGCTGAAGTATATTAACATATGCATATAGTTTCAGTGAATATGTGGTCCTGCAGAATTGATGTGACTTCTGTAGTCTAACTTTGTGATAATGCACAATTTTTTTCCTTCTCTCCCTTCTCCCTTAAATGTAACAGGTTGCAAAAGCAGCCTTTCAGAGGAACAATGACGCTTTGGATGCCGCCCTTTTTTATCTTGCAATGAAGAAAAAAGCAGTCGTATGGGGTCTGTTTCGGTAAGTTTTATTAACTTAGATATTGATGAATAATGAAAACATGTTTAAATTTAAATTGTACATTAATTCTTTTCGTTGTAGTTTTTACTATGGTTGATTCTCTATATTTCCAAGTTTAACTTTTGCAGATTTGGTTATTTGAAGATTTGATTAACATGCACCTTCTAGATCAACGTTTCTCAGCCTAGGAGTCAGGACCCCTGGGGGGGGGGTAGCAAGGGGGGTGACAGAGGGGTCGCCAAAGACCATCAGAAAACACAGTATTTTCTGTTGGTCATGAAGGTTCTGTTTGGGAAGTTTGGCCTAATTCTGTTGTTGGTTTGGTTCAAAATGCTCTTTGATTGGAGGTGAACTATAAATCCCAGTGAGTCCCTTCAAGGCATGGGGTTTCTGCTTGGGAAGTTAGGCCCAATTCTATTGTTGGTTGGGCGGGGAAACTGCTCTTTGATTGCAGGCGAACTAAAATCCCAGGAACTACAACTCCCAAATGTCAAGGTCTATTTCCCCCAAACTCCACCAATGTTCACATTTGGGCATATTGAGTATTTATGCCAAGTTTGGTCCAGATCCATCATTGTTTGAGTCCACAGTGCTCTCTGGATGTGAACTACAACTCCAAAACTCAAGGTCAATGCCCATAAAACCCTTCCAATATTTTCTGTTGGTCATGGGAGTTCTGTGTGGCAAGGTTGGTTCCATTCCCTCATTGGTGGATTTCAGAATGCTCTTTGATTGTAGGTGAACTATACATCCCAGCAACTACAACTCCCAAATGACAAAATCAATCCCACGTCCAACCCCACCAGTCTTTAAATTTGGGCATATGGGATATTTGTGCCAAATTTCGTCCAGTGAATGAAAGTACATCCTGGATATCAGATATTTGCATTACAATTCATAACGGTAGAAAAATTACAGTTAGGAAGTAGCATTGAAAATAATTTTATGGTTGAGGGTCACCACAACACGAGGAACTGCATTAAAGGGTTGCGTCATTAGGAAGGTTGAGAATCACTGTTCTAGATCCTCTTGTGTAACTCCAGCAAAGATTGGCCATAGAATCACACTGGAGGACCAAGAGATGCCTAGAGAAGTGTTTTTTCAGGTTAGAAATATAGAAGTTTTACGTATTTCACTTTACACTGTGTTGCTATGTAAGCCACCCCAAATCTTTTTGGGGAGATGGGGTGGGATACAATTGTTGTTGTTATTGTTGTACATTTAAATCCAGAGTATGTGTGTAGTTTATTAATTGTGTAATTTATTAATGCTTTTGTGTAATGTTGTTTGTTGATACTGTAGTTTATTAACGCTTTGGCCAAAATAAATAAGTGCAATGTAAAAGCACCATATTAAATCAAGGGAATATTATTAATGAAATATAAATAACAATACTATAGTCAGAGAACTCTCAAAGACAATTCTAGGTTAATTGTACATGGTGCAATCTTGACCATGTCTACTCAGAAATGAAACCCGTGGAGTTCAGAGAGTCTCGCTTCTAGGTTAATGTGTATAGAATTGTAAACTGGACATAGCTAAATCTGTTTCCTTTTATTGCATTTTTCACAGTTCTCAACATGATGAGAAAATGACGCAGTTCTTCAGCCATAATTTCAGCGAAGACAGATGGCGCAAAGCAGCTTTGAAAAATGCCTTCTCTTTGTTAGGAAAGCAACGCTTTGAACAGTCGGCTGCCTTTTTCTTATTAGCTGGTTCGTTAAAGGACGCTATAGAGGTATCGATTGGAACGCATAACGTATTGAGTTTGCATAGGTTTGTCCAATATAGACATTAGGGCTTCGCAGATCATCAGCCAAAGAAAATGTATGTCCTATAACAAAAGTCAGAGTTAGTCTGCGTAATTAAATATGAATATATTTCCGTTCTATTTTCTGCCATAATGCTGCTTCAGAATTGTTGTTCCTTGTCTCTACTGTATAGGGAAGAAATAGCCTTAAAACAGTGGTTCAGTATTTCTTATATCCATTATCAAATTTATTTTTGCAATTATTGAAACTACTGTATATACTTGAGTATAATCCGACCGGAATATAAGCCGAAGCACCTAATTGGGAAAACGTATTGACTTTGAGTATAAGCCAAGGGTGGGAAATGCAGCAGTTACTGGCAAATTTCAAAATAAAAAGAGATGCCAATAAAATTACATTAATTCAGGCATCAGTAGGTTAATTTTTTTGAATGTTTACATAAAATTGTAATTTAAGATAAGACTGACCAGCTCTGATTAAATCATTATTCTAACATTCTTCAATGTAAATGTTCTTATGTATCCATCCAGTAATGATAAAGAGAGTAAAATAATACATGTAGTAATAATAATAATAATAATAATAATAATAATAATAATAGAGTAAAATAATGGAAATGTAATAATAGAGTAAAATAATAAATGTAATAATAATAATAGTAGTAGAGTAAAATAATAAATGTAATACTAATAATAAATAGAAAAAAATAAATGTAAATAATAGAATAAAATAATGGAAATGTAATAATAATAATAATAGAGAAAAATAATGGAAATGTAATGATAGAGTAAAACAATAAATGTAATAATAACAATAATAATAATAGAGTAAAATAATAAATGTGATGCTAATAATAAATAGAGAAAAATAATAAATGGAAATAATAATAATAATAATAGAGTAAAATAATGGAAATGTAGTAATAATAATTAATAGAGTAAAATAATAAATGTAATAAAATAATAATAATAATAATAATAATAATAACAACAACAACAGAAAAAATAATACCTAACCTTGACTCAAGTATAAGCCGAGGGGAGCTTTTTCAACCTTAAAAAAGGCCTGAAAAACTCGATTTATATGGTAATTCCAAAAAAGTGTAGTTAAAGTTTCTCCTGAAGATCAGTTCTGCTGTACCTGGATCTGGGATAATTTCTTGCAGAAATGAAGCAGATGTTCTTGTATCAGGTCATTATTTTGCATGCACATTATTTATTTATTTATTTATTTATTATTTACTCTATTTTCATCCCGCCCATATCAGCCCGAAGGCGACTCAGGGCGGCATACAGAGTCGTCACAATTCAATACTATATATATAAAATACGTACATTGATAAAAATCAGAAAAAAGGAAACATTACAGTACATTTGAAATAATAAAAACAGTGAACAATAAAAAATTTAAAAACTATGTCCTCTCGTTCAAATCCTCATCTGTTCCACCGTCTTGGCCGTTCCTGGGTCATTTTCCTATTCAAGTTTGTCTGTTTATGCTGAAATTCCGAATGCTTGTTCAAAGAGCCAAGTTTTCACTGTTTTTTGAAAGGTCAGGAGGGAGGGGGCTGATCTAATATCTCTAGTCAGGGAATTCCACAGCCGAGGGGCTGCCACAGAGAAGGCCCTGTCTCTCATCCCATCAAACGTGCTTGTGAAATAGGCGGAATTGAGAGCAGGGCCTCCGCCGACGATCTCAAGTTCCTGGTGGGTTCGTAGGAAGAGATGTGTTTGGATAGATACGCTGGGCCGGAACCGTTTAGGGCTTCTATCTTTTCACTTCTATCACTTCTATCTTTTCATCCCTAAGTAAACATCACTAACATCCTGACTGTCCTTGTTCTATAGGTGTGTCTTGAGAAAATGGAAGATATCCAATTGGCGATGATTATTGCTCGCTTATATGAGTCAGAGTTTGAAATATCCTCCACCTATACAGCCATCCTATATGAAAAGATTTTGGGCTGTGAGAAAGATGGGACGAAGTTCAGCTGTACCAAACTGCACCCGGATCCTTTCCTGAGAAGCCTTTCATATTGGGTCATGAAAGAATACACAAGAGCACTCGACACTTTACTGGAACAAACACCAAAAGAAGAGGAGGAAAACCCAGGTAAAGAAATAGCAAATTGTTCTACAAATGGCCAGGCCAGATTCTGGAAAGATCGTTAAGGAAGTGGTCTGCAAACACTTAGAAACATATGCGGTCATCGCTAATAGTCAACATGGATTTATCAAAAAAAAGTCATGACAGACAAATCCGATCTCTTTTTTCAATAGAGTTACAGGCTGGGTAGATGTGGGGAATGCTGTGGATGTAGCATATCTGGATTTCAGTAAGGCCTTTGACAAGGTCCCCCACAACCTTCTGGCAAGGAAACTAGTCCAATGTGGTCTAGGCATAACTATGGTTAGGTGGATCTGTAATTGGTTAACCCAGAGGGTGATTCTCCCCAATGCTTCCTCTTCATCCTAGAAAGAAGTGAAGAGTGGAGTGCCACCAGCAGGATTCCGTCCTGGACCCGCTTCTGTTCAGCATCATTATGAATGACTTAGATGAAGGGTTCGAAGGCATGATCATCAAGTTTGCAGACAACAACAAATGGGGAGGGAGAACAAGACTCCAGAACACAGGAGCAGAATTCAAAATGATCTTGACAGATTAGAGAGATGGTTGGCCAAAACAAACAAAATGAAGTTCAATGGGGACAAATGCAAGATACTCCACTTAGGCAGAAATAATAATGAGGGGTGTCTGGCTCAACATCAGTATGTGTGAAAAAGATCTTGGAATCCTTGTGGACAACAAATTAAATATGAGTCAACAATATGATGTGGCAGCTATAAAAGCCAATGAGATATTGGCCTGCATCTATAGGAGTCTAGTGTCTAGATCCAAGGAAGTCATGCTATCCCTGTATTCTGCATTAGTCAGACCACACCTGGAATCACATTGTGTCCAATTCTGGGCACCTCAATTGGAGGGAGATGTTGACAAGCTAGAATGTGTCCAAAGGAGGGCAATTAAAATGATCAAGGTTCTGGAGAACATGCTCTGTGAGGAGCATTTTAAAGAGATGGGCATGTTTAGCCTTTAAAGAAAAGGCTGAGAGGAGACATGATGAGGGCCATGTATAAATATGTGAGGGGAAGTCATAGAGAGGAGGGAGCAAGCTTGTTTTCTTCTGCCCTGGAAACTAGGATGCAAAACAATGGCTTCAAACTACAGGAAAGGAGATTCCACCTAAACATGAGGAAGAACTTCCTGACAGTGATAGCTGTTCAGCCATGGAACTCCCTGCCCTCAAGTGTGGTGGAGGCTGGATGGCCATTTGTCGGGGGTGCTTTGAATGCGATTTTCCTGCTTCTTGGCAGATCTTGGAAAGGGTAGATTTTTTTTATTATTATTATCTTTATCCATTGCTTTATGGTTTGAAAATAATCCTTGGGTGATTTACACAAAAAAATAATTAAAAATCAGCAATAAGTTTAAAAAAAATAAAATGAGATGGATTCAGGTAGAGATAAGAATCTTCACCTCTCTGTGACTATACTCATTTTCTTTCTCTTTGTTTCTCGGTCTTACTTTTGATGTTCTCTTCATTATCATCTATACTAATAAAAATGTAATGTTAATTTGTGGGATTAACATAACCCCAAAACCACTGGAAGAATTGACACCAAATTTGGACATAATACACCTTATCAGGCCAATGAGTGACCATCTATATAAATAAAAATGTAATGTTAGTTTGTGGGATTAAAATAACCCAAAAACCACTGGACGAATTGACACCACATTTGGACACAATATACCTATCAGGCCAACGAGTGACCATCACTCATAAAAACACTGAAAAACACAGCAGAAGAGACTTCAAAAGCAAAAAAATAAACACATGCACAAAATCTCACATATATACGCAAACACACATATACACAAATATATACACACATATACACAGACTGGGCCACAGTGAGTCGTGGCAGGGGACAGCTAGTATTTTGTAAAATAACAAGCTCCACATTGCTTACTTGTATCTGCATTTACCTACGTCTATTTTAAGTCTTTCTCTTCAACCTCAAAGAGGTCTCCAAACAATTAAATTCACAATTATGATGTTTCTGTGTGTCTTACTGCACCTGTTTCTGCTTTCCCCAGTCATTGTCAAGTCCTGCAATCCTGTGGTGTTCAGTTTCTACAACTACCTTCGCACCCACCCCTTGCTCATCCGAAGGAACTTTTGCATACCTGATGGCACTTTAGCCACCTTAGGGCTGCAGACAGAGAAAAGCTTTGTGGACCAAATCAATCTCATTGAAAGAAAGCTCTTTTTCACTACTGCAAATGCCCATTTTAAAGTGGGGTGCCCCGTGTTAGCTCTTGAGGTTCTGTCCAAACTTCCCAAGATAAGCAGCACGTCCAATATTTTTATCAAGAAAGAGGAAGGAAGTCCAAGTCCCACTATGCAAAATGGCGTGAAATTGGAGCCAAAGACATTAGGTGAAGCCAAAGACCTCGACTGGTCACAGCCCATGACAACTACATCGGATTTGCTAAGTCACACTGATTCCTCATCTCTGGTTGACTGGAGTAAGCCAGCTATAACATTTGAGGATGAGCCCCTTAAACTTGACTGGGAGGATGAGAAAAGTGGTTCACAGGAGGATGAAGAGGAAGACGGTTTGCAAATGAAGGCTTCAAAGTTGGAACCAGACACTAAAAAACAGCATGAAAAGAGCCCCGACACCAGTCACAGCGAGGAAGCAGAGGCGGATGAAAGTGAAGTTGATGTGATTGCCGAACAACTGAAATTCAGAGCATGTCTGAAAATCCTCATGACAGAACTGAGAACTTTGGCTACTGGTTACGAAGTCGATGGTGGGAAACTCCGCTTCGAACTTTACAACTGGCTGGAGAAAGAAATCGCCGCTTTGCACGAGATATGCAACCACGAAGCACGTGGCAAAGACTATTATAGAACAGGTGCCAAAATAAACGGAGACTTACTTGATCACGAAGAAGTGGTGGAAAAGTCGGATGTTGGCTCCTACGAGCGGCATCAGATTGAACGGCGCAGGTTGCAAGCGAAGCGAGAGCATGCTGAGCGACGGAAGTGGTGGCTACAGAAGAACCAAGCCTTGCTGAGGGTTTTCCTGAGCTATTGTAGCCTCCACGGAGCTCAGGGTGGTGGCCTTGCCTCTGTGAGGATGGAGCTGAAGTTCTTGCTGCAAGAATCACAGCAAGTAAGTTTTCCTTACTGTGTCTTTTGCTATAGTTCATTCTTTGTGGTAGAATTAATAGCAAAGATGATTTAAAGTCAGAGCTTCACCTAAACTCCCTTGTTGTGCCAGCGCCATTGGCTGCCAGTTTGCTGCCAGGCACAATTCAAAGTGCTGGCTTTAATGTATAAAGCCCTAAACGGTTCTGGCCCAGCTTACATGTCCAAACGCATCTCCCCTTATGAACTATCTAGGACCTTAAGATCATCTGGGGAGGCCCTGTTCTCGTCACCGCCTTTTTCACAAGTATGTTTGGCGGAGACGAGAGACAGGGCCTTCTCTGTGGTGGCCCCTTGGCTGATTGGCCACCTGCCTTTTAACATTCTGGAAAAAAGTCAAGATGTGGCTTTTTGAACTAGCGTTTGCAAATGCAAAGTAACTGACACAGCAAAATGGAGCGACTAGACAATGAGTCTGGACAATGTTTTTAAAGAGGAGACACTATGAATTTATATTTTATTGATTTGTTTAGTTTTTATTATATGTTATGTTTTTAATTGCATTTATGACATTGTAAGCATTGAATTCTGCCCTGTTAACCGCCTTGAGTTGCCTATGGACTGAGAAAGGTGGTATATAAATGCAGTAAATAAATAAATAATAAATAAATAAATAAACACTGCAACCTGGCTGTTCTTCTGTTTTCGCCATCTGCTTCTCTGGCCCTGGAACTCAACAAAAAAGCTCCTGTTTTGTAGCTGATTTCCTATGAAGCGGGTGAGGCAGTAGTCCTTTGTGATATTATTTTTTTTTCTCCAGAGAAGGCAATGATGTACAGTATCATATGCTGCTGACAGGTCTATAAAAACAGCTCCTGTAATCCTCTTACCTCAGTAAATAGACTTAATTCACTTTTTGTATTTTGTGTTTCTTATGTTGATGTAAGTTACTCTTTCAACAAATTTGTGAATAATGATGCTACGGAAGGCTGGTATACCACCTCCAGGAGCAGAGAAAGTATCTCTCTCAAATTCATTTGCTAAGAAATATGAGCAAGAGGGTCCTATTGGCCTTATGTCATGGAATTATAGATCTAAAGAGGCCACATGGGTCATCCAGCCCAACCACTTGCATGCAGGAATCTGTTGCTTATTGGATTCCCATAGATTGCCCACTGTACAAATAGCATGCTGGACTAGATATAAATTTGAATTTGGTCCAGCAGGTCTTCTTTATGATCTTCTGTTTCAACTTTTTCATGATCTTGTTTCAACATGTAAGTTAGGAGTGCCTGGTGGCGCAGTGGGTTAAATCCCTGTGCCGGCAGGACTGAAGACCAACAGGTCATAGTTTCGAATCCAGGGAGAGCGTGGATGAGCTCCCTCTATTAGCTCCAGCTCCTTGTGCGGGGACATGAGAGAAGCCTCCCACAAGAATGGTAAAGCATCAAAACATCTGTGCATCCCCTGGACAATGGCCTTGCAGATGGCCAATTCTCTCACACCAGAAGCGACTTGCATTTTCTCAAGTCACTCCTGACATGACAAAAAAATGTAAGTTTAGAAAAGTATGCATAGGTTAGTAAGGTATGTTTTTGTCAGAAGCTAGGGTGCCCAAATTTCAGATATGTTTCAAACTTCAAGAAAAACATGAAAAGATTGGACTTGATGGAGTTTGGATATTCTGAATTCAAACTATAACATGATTGTTATTCTGCTATTTTGTTGGCTATGTTTTTGTTACC